CCATCCTCCCACACCTGCAGTTTCCAGGGAGTCGGCCACTCCGCCCCGGTGAGCATCTCCAGCGCTGGGCACGCGCTGGCTCCTGAGGCAGCTACTTCCATTCTTGGACAGCTTTGGCTCTCAGTTCCCAGCAGTGAGCCCAAATCTGCCTCCTTAGAAGATAAGTTGGTCCTGGTTGTGTCGTCTGAAGCTCTGTCAATCAAGTTTACTCTATTTTACATGACAGCTTTTCTCTCAGACAGGTGACAGCAGAGCGCTGTTCACTCCGCCTGCGTTCCCCCCCCAGTTGCTGTTCTCTGTCTCCCTCATCTGTCCTTCCTCTCCACCGCCACTGCCCTGGCCCTGGTCCAGAGCCTCACCACCTGGTGCCTAACCCACCCTCTCTGCTTTCCCCCCTTCCCGTTCTTCCTCACCGCCACAAGATGAATTTTTCCAGAACACCAACAAACACATATCTCCTTTTGACAGTGGCTTGGAGCCTAGAGGAGAGCCCTCCCTCCTTACCCTGGCATTCCAGGCCTTCTCGCTTCTGTCTCCAACTTCACGGACAGTTGCTTCCTTACACAAAACCCTTAACTGCAAGCAAACAGTCAAACTCACTGCCCTCAGAACATCCCGTCCACACCCCTGCTTCTGGGGCCCCGTCTATGCCCTCTTCTCTCCTTCCTCCAATCCTGTCTTGTCTTTGGGGGTCTGACTGACTACCTGAGGCTCTGAAAGGATGCCCTCCCACATCCACAGAAGCCACAGGCCTCACCACTGTGCTCTGCATGTGCTGTCTTATCTCATGTTCGATATGAGTCCAACTGCAGCTCCTCTGAGAACTCTTTTACTCCCCTGCACCTTTCACAGGTAGGTGCTCAAAACACAACTTTTGAGGGCAATGGTGAGATAAACCCCGCTGCCAGGACCCTCTGAGTCTCTTTCCCATTTTCCTCAGATGCTCCGCCCAAGGCCGGGCTTTGGGCTTCTCTGTGTTTCCAGCAGCCTCTCAGAGTCTGACCACTGTCAGGTCCAGTGAAACCAAGTTCCCCTGACTCAAAGGTAGGAAGAGGGATGCAGCTGATTATGATGAAACAATTTGGCCACCAACATTTACACAGGTTCCCTAAATATGTGATCAGCGTTTGGGTTCGTCACATCTCAACCAGCCCCCTTGGCCATTCATTAAAAAAAATCATCGCATACCTGCCACACTTTCTGGCTAAGCATTCTTTCTGGAACACTGAACTCTTACTCATTTTCTCAACTTCTCTTGCTGTTTACAAGTGGTGTAACCAGTAGGTTCTCTATTGATTTTGTTTTTCAGCACGTCCTTTGACTTTTCTGTGCACAGCAGGGTGTGCATTTTAGAGTGGACCCTGGTAGACGGAAGCTGAGGGCACAGACTCCACACAAACATGGGCTCACTTGAGGTTCTACCACTACTAGCTGTGTGAACTTCATTCATTTTTGAGCTTTCCATCTCTTTGCGCTTCAGTTTGTCTCGTCTGTAGAGGAATGATACCCACTCCACGTACTGTGAGGATCAGATCATGCAGGTGCCAAGTGCTTAGCCAGGCGCCTCACACACGTGGACGCTGCCCACTGTGGTCAGTGATTGTCCGGTGAAGCGCCTCAGCCCTGCATGGTCGGTTATGGAATGCCCAAGAAGGGCCTTTGATGATGATGATGGTGATGACAGAACTGTTAAAGAAGACATGGAGGCCCTCCTAACTCAAAATTAGTGCTAGAATCACCCTGCTCAAAGTTACTAGAAAACCTTTACTAGTATTTTCCTGGGTAGTTAAGGCTGGGCATTTTCTCTTTATCCACTGTGTCTATTAGGGAAATTAGGTGACGACAATTCATTTTGTAATTTCTGGTGGGGGCGAGGGGTTGGGGACTATGATAATAATAATAGCAAAATGGCCATTACCCTTTAGGGGCTTGGGAACCCCCTAGTCATCCCACCTGTCCCCTCTGGACCAAGGGAATATATACCCCACGATCAATGGCTGAACGGGTACTTAGGATCTTGCACTGGGCGAGAACCCCACGACCCCAAATGAAAGGCTCGGGTGGAAGCTGAGTCTCTGGCCAAGAAGGCCAAGCGAGGTCTCTTTCTTCCTATGAGACAAAGGCGACCGTGACCTTGACTCTAGAGGTCCACTCCACCACACAGCTGCAAATCCTGGAAGACAAGCAAAGGGAGGGCCTGCCGCTCCTAGAGGGGCCCAGAGGCACGTGGGGGAGACCGCGCACCGTGCCCAATGCGCTCGCTCAGGCCCTCCCACACACCTAGAAAGCAGGTGGTCTTTTTTGCTTCACTGCTTTTGCGGTGAAGAAACTGAGATGAAGCAAGTCGCCCAAGGTCACAGAGCTGTGAAGGCCGAGCTGGGACTTGAACTCAGGCAGGCTTGTTCCGGGTCTACTGGTTACACACCCTGCTGCTCGCCAAGAGCCTCCCCCACACCCACGTGGCCTCCGGACAGGGGAGCGTTGAGCTTCCCTCCACCCGTCCACTCGTCAGCACTGACATCCACTGGACAAGGGAGACTGGGGGGTGTGCTCTGACTAGGGACCATTTGGGCAATCAACGTTGAAGGAGGGAGCAACGCAGTAACTTGCACGTTCATCTTGCCAGTGTCTCCCTGTAATCAAACACAACCAAGAGGTAAAAGGGGTGAATTTGCGGCCAGGTCTGTAACTTGGGGATCAGCCTTTGCACATCACTAAGAGAATCAGCCACATCAATTACTGTGTCTCCCTGGCCCTTGTCTCCTACAGGGAAGTGACAAGTCACAGCCCTGCTGAAGGAACATCATTCAACCGCCATACTTTCTACCACTTGACCTTCACTCTTCCCCCATTGGTCCAGGGGTGGCTCCAGACCCAAGGCCCCTGATCCCTAGACTGGTCAGGGACCTACAATGTGGCCTGCTCAGAAATAATGAGCAGGGACCAACCACTTCTCCATCTCATGAATCTCATTTTGGAAATACAGAGACAGTGAAGCTGTGAGCAACGGGGGTTGAAGCTGAAAGAATCTGGAGGTGGTTCTGGCTGTGATGGGTTAGGCAGAGACGCCGGCACTGCAGAAGAGCCACAGTGCAAAAGAACGTTTATACAGTGGAGGGTGGGGATACGCTGGCTGGAAGTGAAGCAGACACAGAAGAGCTGACTCAGCAAAGGTGAAGCATTAAGCAGATGATATTCAACGGGCCTGCCCAGAAGAATCATCTGGAGAGAACTTAAAACACTAGTGCCTGTGCTTGTGCCCAGAGGTTCCATTTACTTGGTGTAGAGCGGAGCCAGGCACCAGGAGATTAAGTCCCTCCGGTGGAGAACCATTGTCTGCAGTAGGCTTCCCACGGCTGCTGGGCCTGGCTTCTGCTCTGCAGGAGGCCCACGGTGCAGCCTCTCCTGGCTTCTTTGGCAGACACTTTTGGATAATTAATCACTTATAGCTCCTGCCTTATTCCTTGCTAACAGACTCCTAATTTTGTACAAATATTGGAGCAGCAATATGGTCACAGAAGATGGGCCCAACCCCAGAGGATGAAGCCTATTTGGTCCAAGCCAAATGAGGGAACCCCATCCCCCTTTTCCCATCTTAGGGATAGGTATGTGCCCCAGTTCTGACCGACGACATGGGAGCAGGGGAACCCTCTGGGAAAGATTTTCCTCTTTAAAAGAGAGAGAGAGAGGGCTGGCCCCATGGCCGAGTGGTTAAGTTCGCACACTCCACTTTGGGGGCCCAGGGTTTCGCTGGTTCAGATCCTGGGTGTGGACACGGCACCGCTCATCAAGCCATGATGAGGTGGTGTCCCACATGCCACAACTAGAAGGACCCACAACTAAAAATATGCAACTAAGTACCAGGAGGCTTTGGGGAGAAACAGGAAAGTAAAATCTTAAAAAAGGAATTTAAAAAAAAAAGAGAGAAAGAGAAACTGGAGAAATGCCCCCTTCGCCCTTTCCTGCATTTGGAAGTTATGCTGTCTGATGTGATGCCTGGAGCTTCTGGAGCCATTTTGTGACTATGAGGGGAAAACCAAGAGAACTGCAGACACTGACCAGAGCCCTGATGTGGCAGCTGCTGAATTAACCACCCCAGGAACCACCTGCCTCCAGATTTTTTGTTACTTAACTATGTGCTTACTGTGTATGCCGGTCAAACCATTTTTCATGTATTACAGTGGTCCTCGGGATGTGAGAATGATAAATGCCTCCCTTCCCTGGTCCCCCAGCTCTCCACCCCCGCATCAGAAGTGGTTCCAAACCCTGCAGAGTAGCCTTCCCACAGACTACCCATCACTGTCAATGCAGGTTAAGCATGGTTCTCTGTGAGACTAAGTGACGTACGGTGTTTGCTGTTGGGAGGTTTGAAAAAAAGCCAAAAGATAGCAGAAGGCCTCAGAGCTAGTGAGTTCTACGTCTACAGCCCAGCTGCCCTGGCTCCCTTAATAAAACAGTCCCACCGTGCTCTCTGTTCAGCATGCTGTCAGTGGATGCCTTTATGCGCATTCCATAAAGCTTGCTGACGCTCTTCCCAACCCTGCCTGTCACCCCTCACTGTCTCTCTACTCTTACTCCATCACTTCCTTTTTCCCCTTTTCTCCAACACTCCAACAACTGGATTTGAGAGGAAGAGAAATGGAGCACCTCCACCCTCAAAACCAAAACTCTCGAATGACAGACTTTAAAAATCTGGATTTCTAGGCAGTGGAGAGTTCTTAAATACTAGCAGTTGCTCTCATCAGCCTGGTTGTATCTCCAAAATGGGCTTTCTTTGCATGCTCTCCTGTCCTCCCACCCAAACACAAGTCCCCAAAGAAAGGACCCCTATAGCCTCCTTCTGTGGCTCTGCCCCAAGGAGGTGGACATGACCTCTCAAGGCACGCCCAGCAGACACCATACCTCCCTTGCCCATCTTCCAAACTCTTCTTCACAAGTTCTGAAGTTGCTCAGCATTGGCTCACCTCCTTGGTTCGGGCTCAAAGAACACCACAGGTGTCTACACAGTTTACACAGACTTTATTTTTCACCCATTGAGCACAGGAAGGTCTGGGCAGGTGGAGGTGTCACCATCACCTCCCCTGGTTCACAGACACAGACCATGAGACCTGGCGGTGAGGGAGAGGGGTCCTATTCCTACCACAGACTGCTATGGGATTATCACAACGACACATTTGTTCTCGGTTCTATTTACACCAAGGAGTGTGGAGAGGGTACATTTCTTACACTAAAAATATATACTTTGGAATCTCTAAAACAAAAATATCTCCATCTCTACATGAGACCTACTAGAAAGAAGAACATAGAAAACAAGGGAAATGTACCAGCACCTCAAGTTGTCCCCTTCCGTGGGAAAGTTGCTTTGCTCTCCACCTGACCCATTAGCTTGGGAGGGCGCCACATCTGAGCACTCAGACAGACAGACAGACACAGACAAGTAAGAAGGAAGCCCATCACCTTGGAGGAGGGAATATGGGAGAAAGGAGTGAGGAGCAGGCCTTCGGCCTCTTGCAGAAGGAATCCTTGCACATTCAGCTGATTCTTCCGTTCCCAACATGATTGCACGTGTGAAAACCTGCATGTTGGGATCAACCGCAAACCTGCTGACAGAAGCCCAAGCTTTGCTGACTCTGCTGGGCTCGGAAAAGTGCCACAGGGGCTTCTCTCTCTCTCTCTCTCTCTCTCTCTCTCTCTCTCTCTGTCTCTCTGTCTCTCTGTCTCTCTGTCTCTCTGTCTCTCTCTCTCTCTCTCTCTCTCTCTCTCTCTCTCTCGGGAAATACTAACACCAGCAGCCAGAAGAAAAAGTTCTGTGTTCTCCAATGCTGAAAGTGGGCTAGGTTTAAGAAAAAGGCGATTCCTTTTCTTTTCAGAAGGATCAGAAGCCATTCCATTCCCTTTGAGCACAGAATCTCCTAAAAGAATTATCCCCATGGATGAATCATTCCACTTTCTGAATTTTCCTATTGAAAAGATCCACATAACAGTGCTTTCCTCTTTTTATGCTTCGAGCATAAATATTCAAGAGTTACTTCACACCTCTTTTAATTATGAAAATTAGCCTTCTTTCTGGTAAAGAAATGTTAACTGCGTCAATTGCCCAATCTCTAGAATTAATGTCAGAGACCAAGGGCACCACAAATAATAAAGAATAGATTTGGTAGAAAAATCACTTCTATTTGGTTTTGGAATGTCTTTTTCTGTTTACACTGAAATATGGATAAGCCTCAGGGCTTGAGAATCCTTAATCCCTCTCCCTAAATAAGGAAAATAACCGTGAAGGCCCCTTTCCGAGAAGCCCCGGGACCATCCACCCTCCTCACCTCTCTCACCACCCCCAACTGGTGGTGGTTTCCAGGACCTCTGACCAAGAACTTCTTCCTTCCAAGAAGAACTTGAAAGACTGAGGAAAAGGCAGAAAAGAGAGAAAAGGGTGCTTGAAAAAGCTGAGTCAGTAAAAGGGGGTGGAACTGGCTGATGTCTCATTTGGCAGGAAAGATTTCTACCTACAGGAGGCCCAACAGCTACAATCAAAAGGAAGTCAAGAACGCTGAGAACATCCAACGCAGGGCTGCTTAATGTCCTGCCAGGATGTGGCCTGGAAACCTGAGAAGTTCGAGGAAAATGCAGTAACAAACTGGCAAAGACTGCTTCAAAGTCCTAGGAGGAGGTGCTAACTCTCGCAAAAGAAGAAATTTAGAGAAGCTGATAAAGGAGCAGAGACAACATACTAGATAGTATGTCTGCTGCTTTGAAAGGAAAGCCAGGGGCTCTGTGGTCAAGCTTCTCTGATGCTTCAGGAAATCTTGGGAGACGCAGAGCATCGGACCCTGAAATCAACAGAGAAGATGCAGGGAGAATTACCGACTCCTCAATTGAGAGGGAAGTCCGGAGCACTGAGCAGGTAGAAAACAAAGTAGAACTGGGAACTGCCTGTTCTGGACAATCGGAAACCACAGATTTCCAGAACCAGAGACCTCTTAAAGGTCACGGTTGTCACAGCCTGAGTTGTCAACTAAGCCTGGGACTTAGCATATACCAGACTTCTATTAAACAGTTACGACTAATTTAAAAGCCAGTCACATCTCAGACAAAGAGCAATAGCAACTATGCACACTTTCTTTCGGAAATATATGGTTCCCTACCCCTCTACCCCAAAGGCAAAGTTCTGTGAAGATGGGGCTGGGAGCTGTACGTGATAAAGACCAACTCTCTTGAGAGTCTCATCACCAGAAGTTTGAAATCACATACAGCCACAAAGAGCTAGCCTGCATTTTACACAACCAAACATATTCGGTAATTTCACGGCGTATTTCTGCAGGCGTTTCTTTCTCTCTAGACCAATCCCTCCCTAAAAGTCACGGGCTAGGAAGTAACCTGCCCACTCAGCAGCATCAGTTCTTCCCCTCAGAACCAAGAGTCTATTCACCATCACTTTCTGAAATCTCTGGCCTCGCCCCCTTCCTGCCCCCACTGCCAGCCTACCAGGGCACTGGCCTGCCCCCCCTCAGTGTTCCTGCCATCTCCCCTGTCACGGAGGTGCACCGCTTCTCGGGCCCAAGCAAATCCGGGCAGAGAAATCACCTACCAGCCTTTCTTTGCACCCCTGAATCAGTTTCTCCTTAATGTTGAGCTTCAACACCTTTTTCTATAGACTAATCTGCCTATATTTGTCCTCAAGCTATTCCATCAGGGAAGTCTGAAAGGGGTAGACCACAGAAGGGAGAACGGTAATATTCTTCTGATGCCCCCACACTTCAGGTGCACAAGGCTGCTTAGCAGCAGCAGTGAAATCTTACAGATACACTCTCGTTTGTGGACAAACACAGGCATGTGCACACACTCACACATACACAAATGCTGCTGCCGCTCCACCTCGCCTCCCAGTTTCCCACCCCAAACGCTGCCGTCATGGTCACAGCCACAGACCTGAGCAAGGAAGCAGCCAGCACTGGGGCTGAGTGCTTCACGGGACTTGGGAAAGAGGAGAGAGTAAGGGGAGGGAATGGTTCCTACCACTGAGATGTAGCAAAAATGAGGCTGGCTACTGTTTAAGAAAAACCTAATGGCCTAAAAGCCTTGGCACAGCCTTCCAGAGCAGCTAATGGTCCTGAGGCGCAGTGACCTAGGAGGGTCTGGCTCAGGAAAGTGCACATGTGGTCCTATAACCACACCGCACAGAGTTCACAAAGACAGGCGCCCTTCTCTCAAGAAGCCCAGCCTACACAGTGATATTGTCACCTAGTTCTGTTGACTGATGGACTCTCCGTTACATTCCTTACCGCCACGCTGAGGCTAGGGGAACAGGGGACGCAGCCACCGTCCTCCCTCTGCAGAGGTGGCAGGAAAAGATGGGAGCGGCAAGATGGAGGAAGAAAGGGGGGATGTTCTCAGGGAACAAATAAGATGAAAAAGGAGGCAAGTTCAAGGAAGCAGCCAGAGAGACAGGAAAGGCAGCAAGAAAGCTTTTTAACTGACAGGTTGCCTTTTATTTTTCTAAATTAGGTAGGTATGGGTACCATTACTACATTTACGCTAAAGTGACAAAATGTGAAGCTTTGGCTCACAAAGATTTTAATGCCCATATACTTCAAAAAGGACACATTCCTGTTCCTGTCTGCACCATATGAGAGGAAGCCGGCTGTCCCTAAAACAGCCTTGTGAGTAGAAATCAGACAAACCAGGAAAAATATCCGCAATTCAAAGGGATATCATTTGAATATCTGAAAACAGCATGACGTTCAGCCAATAGGCACCGGTGAGGCCACACACGCTGCTTGTTTACAGCAGGCACCCGTTCTGAGTGGTTGGTGGCCCTCCTGTACCAGTTGTTAAATATTTTGAAAATCATCTCTGTATTAAAATGGTTATGGCTCTAAGAGATAGGGAAGTATGAAAGAAACGCAGGGTTCCTTCAACATCAAAGATCTTTAGAGTAAGACACTAACATGTCTCAAGAGTCTAAGGAATGCAAAATTCAATACAGTGATATAGCCAACTCTTCGTCTAGGAAGGGAAAGCACATTGGGGGAATGTCCCACTGTACAGAGATTTTCCAGGATGGAAAACTGATAAGATCGGATTCCCTGGGTACCGACATGCTTGCTAATGACATTCTGTGCACAAAGGAAGAGAAAGTCTATGTACAGTGGAGCCCAAACCCTTGATATTCATGGTGACAGAGAAGAGAAGAGAATAACTATGAGTCAGTTTTAAACTAAATACCAAAATTAATTTCACCACTTCCAGTTAATTTCCCAGTGTGGCTTTTCACATCTGAGAGGCAGAACGTTTGTCAACCAAAAGAAATCCATGACGATGAAGAAACCACATGGCTGAGGTGGTTTTGGTCCATTGATGGTTCGCTACTAAGGCAACTAAGGAGACATTACGCAAGCACTTGGATCTCTCCAGGAATGGAATCAGACTGTGTCCTCAAGAGACAGCAGCAAGACATGAAGGTTTCCACAACAGGGCAATAAAAACACCTTACCTCCCTCTCTACTCACAAACAACTCTTATCAAACCTTCCCAGAGATCTAGAAAGCAGACACTACGACAGACCTTCAGGCAAGAAAGTCCTTCCTGGTGTCTAAACTAATTCCTTCTGTGGCAATTTAAGCTCATTCTCTTACTCCACCCTCAAGGAAACCAAGAGAGGCTGCTCTTCCTCACTTATCATGATTGATTTCCCCCTGAGCGTCTTCCTGCTGAAGCTCAGCAACTCCAGGGTCCCTCTTGGCCCTTTCATCATCCAAGGTTCTCACTGAATTATGCAGGCTACTGCTAGGGAGCAATGAGGACGCACTCGGGTCAGAAGCATCTTCTGGCTGTAGTGGTGGGCACTGCCAATGCCCAGGTCACTGAGCAAACCTCCTGACAGCCCCTGGGTCTGACCAGCATCCCCTAGAGTAGGCAATCCAACAAGGCCCAGGGCTGCCCAGCAGCCTGCAAACACTATGGGACTGGAGAGCGTTCCCTTTTCTCCCTGCTCTCCTCCTACTCCCCCACCCCATCTTTTAGGAAGAGAGCCCTCACTGAAGGAATCCTCAGTGGCAGAATGGATCCATACGGCTTGGCAGGCCAGCAGAGAGTTTCAGAGAAAATGTCTGGAAAATGGGAAGCTGGGTATTCGATGGTGGCAGTTCTGAAGAGAAAGAGAAGAAAGAGAAGTACCAACAGGAGTTGGTCTTCTGCTTCCACGTTCGCGTCTGGTGACTGGCTGGTGGTATGGGATAGCTGGACGTCCTGCAATGCACACCACGAATAACTGAATGCTCCACATGGCTTTGAGGAGACCAAGGACGGGGCCAGACTTGGTCTTGCTTCTTCTCTGAGAGATTCACCATCTTCTCTGTGACCAGAACTTCCCTGAGGCACCTCATGGCCCAAATCTTCCATCCCAGCAAAGACTTTTAGTTGAAGAGACTGAATAAAAGTGTTACAATTAGACAAAAAGAGAACACATGATTCATTCCTGCTTTTAACACAATACTTTGAAGATGTCACCACAATTTGGATCTGGCTATATTTTAAGTTCATTTACAAGTAGACTAGTTCTCAACTAAAAATAACCACGTGCGTTATACATTTCGACAGCTGCCTGGATTTTCCTCTGAAGGAAACAAGATTCTATATTTCACTCACATTCAGCACAGATTTATTTTAACCCATTCGATAAAGAAATAACCCACCACCACCACCCACTGGTGGCTGTGAGTTTTCAAAGTACTTCAGTTTCTCCTCGGAGCCGATTTCCGCGTGAGGCAGTTTGTTATTATAGTCTGCATTTTACTGCTGAGAAGACTGAGTTCCGGGAACAGTGGTCCGCCAGGTTATGCTTGGAATTACTAACTAGACCAGGTCTCCTAATTCCTAGCCTACTGTTTTTAGGGTTTTTTTTTTAACTAGAAAAGTCTTCTTTAATAAGACCTAAGACTTTGCCTTTAGCTATCTTAGTACTTAAACTTAAATGGTGCTTGGACTAAATTATTCACCTAATTTGGGTGCACAGCCTACCTCAATGTAGGTAAAAATGCATCAAGTCCTTCTATTTTCTTAATTAACCTGATTAAAATTGATCTATGCTATTGGCAAATGATATCCAGAATTTAGTTTCCAAAATAAGAAAACAGTTATAATTTAATATTTCAAATATTGGCAATAATTCTCATTATGGAACAACTTAAATAGGTTAAAGTCTGTATCAACACTATCAACGCTCTCCGAATACGTTAGCAATTTTCCAGTTTGTGTGGTTGCAGTAACCAGAGAAATGCTCTATAGATTTTGAAATGGGAACTAGAAAGAGGATTAGGGAACTAAAGAAATAGAGCAAATTTACATCTCAAAGTAATTCCATCCTGACCTTGGACCTGTATAAACGGGCAGCTCAAAATAGCATATCTGTTCAAATAGTTAGAAACCATTTTTGCTTTTCTTAGGCTTATAGCTGCTCTCCTGGGGTCAGCAGTAGTCTTAGAAGTGATATTTATTAGACAAATTCACTTTTACAACTAGAAGATATTTTACTGTCAACATGATTGCTGCTTTTAAAAGCCAGAAATTTTTTTAAAAATCAGCAACAAATAGTTCTCTTTACCTCTTTTCCTTTGTATTTCCAGAATTCATACTGAGAGCTTTCCAGACTGTGGTTTTAGGCATTTCATCAGATATATTAATCTCAGAGGGGTCACATCTGAAATCAGAGCTTAGGACAGTAAATGTCAGACACACAAATAAAATACGTACCTCAGTCAATGAAGACCACCACCCCCCCAGAAGGGAAAAGATTAGGTCTCAGGGAGCTCCACTAACAGCTCTCGGAAGTGCTGGGAACCAGATGGTCAGAATGCGGAGAGGCAAGCGGTCCATGAGGTGGTGCTGAGGGCTGGGCTGGTGTGCCAGGTGGCGGCCAGCCCTGCTCCCACGATTCTGCACTCCTTCAAGGGCCCTCTGGGGAGGCTGACGGCACTGTGATGCCAACAGGGGCAGCATCAGGAGCCAGCACTGACTGAGTGCTTGCTGTGTGCCAGGCATGGTGCTACGTGCTCTCCATTCATTTTCTTACTTACATGCCCATTGCATGTTTTCCACTTGCAATTTACACAGGACTTTTACAATATGTTATCTCAACTATCACAGCATCAGAGACTATTAACAACCTCATTCAAAGGTATAGAAACCAAAGCTCCAGGGCTAAGCGACCATCCAGAGTCAGAGGTCAGTAAGTGGAGAATCAAGCCCTTGAACCCAGTCCCTGGTCTCCTGGAACCTGAGTACTCTGAAGTCTTCTACAGGCCAGACTGTCTCCTTTCAAAAGGCCGAGAAAAAGTAGGCAGCATCCCAACAGAGAAGGAACATTGCTCCCACTTTGCCACCAGAGAACTCAAAGCCTGTGGCTACGTCCATAACAACCTGAGGAAAGTTTATCAAGGTCCAAAGATTCTGTTTCTTTGGAGTCAGTTAAAAAAAGTCAAACTCATAGTAACAGAGAACAGAATGATGGTTAACAGAGGCTGGGGATGGGGGAAAGGGAAGACAGTGATGAAAAGTCTACTCTTTCAGTTGTCAGATGAATAAATTCTGAAGACCTAGGCACAGCATGAGGACCACGGTTCATAATAATGTATACTCAAAATTTGCTAAGAAAGTTGATCTCAAATGTTCTCACCACACACACAAAAAAGAATGGCAACCGTAGGAGGTGACGGATACATTATTAGTTTGATTGTATGAATCATTTCACAATGTATACATATATCAAAACATCACACTGTACACCTTAAATATACACTATTTTTATTTGTCAAAAACAAATAAATCAAAAATTTTTAAAAAGAGTTTCTTCATTTCCCCTTCAGTATAAACCACAGTCGGTTCAATGATTCAGCAATAAACCATCCAGGATCTAGATGACCCAGATGCCCTCTCTCTTCCTTTTCCGTCCCCTCTCCACCCATGAGCTTCTTTCAGCTTGTGTGGATGTCTTCCACAAGGAAACAAAACGCTAAGAATGAAACCACATATGGACCAGTTCAGCTTCCTGTGACTTGTGGTGAGCAACAGCTTTGATAGAGAAAGAGGCTAAAATTCATTGACTGAAATAAGGAATTTGAGATCCCACTTCAGCTCCCCCTTGGCTCCTAAGACTGTAGATGCCACGAGCCACGGTGGAATGGGCTGTCTCTGCCCATTCCCAAAGGCTTGCCCATGCCCGGGAATTTCATGCCCACCAGGTTGAGAACTCTCTGGAAGCAAAGACCATATCCTGTTCATCTTTGGAAGGTAGCAGAGAAAGGCAGAAGGAGCACTGGTGTGAGTAATACAAAGACTGTTTGAATCTTAAACTTTCTACTTAACAGCATTATGATCTTGGGCAAATTACCTAAAACCCTCCAAGCCTCAGTTTCCTCATTGTACAAATGTGGACAATGAGACATATCAGAGCGTTGTTATAGAGATTAAGTGAGGGAACATAGGAAACCTTCTAGTCCTGGCCCAGAGAAGTTGCTCAGCACATGAGCTCCTCACCTCTGTTCTCCTTGTGATTCCACCCCTGGTGCAGAGCCTGACGCACAGCAGGGACTTGGTAAACCAGGAAAGGACAGGGGTGTTCAGAAGCTGGACCTGGGAGGCTGAATGTCAGCTCGTTGAGCCACAGCTGTGTTTGTGACACCACTCCAACACAAAGCCAGACCGTTTACAGAATAACCAAAACAGCAGACTCCTTGGTGTTTGGGGAGTTTTACCTGAAACTGTTGCTCTTTCCAGGACTAATGAGTAACTTCCTGCTCTCTAAGGGGAACTTGTCTCCTCCCATTTCTAACATTTTCTCTGCCTCCTGGAAGAAAAGGAGATATTGTTATATCTTGACCAAGTAAAACTGTCAGTCTCCACCAGCCCATTTTTCTATCATCACAATTTCTACCTTATTTTCTCTCACATTTATTATAAAAGAGTATAATTATATTCTTTCATATATTTGACTCATCACAAAAAGACAGACAACCAGATATTCGTATCCATGGAATAGCACGAAAAAAAAAAAGAGAACCTGAATCTGAGTAAGCTTCTAGATCCAACTACCAATTTACTGGAAATATAGGGAACAGAAGAACATGTTAAATGACACCAAGGGACACAATTAATAAAATCTAAATGGTGAAAACCCCGATAGGTCAAAGACCTACTTTCTTCCACAAAAAGAGAAAAAAGAAGGGGAATCTCTAAAGAGATTTAAGAAACATATCTACCAATTGCAACATAGGACCTTATTTGGATCCTGATTCAAGCAAACAGATGGTTAAAAATAATAAGAAGGCATTTGAGGAAATACAAATACTGGCTATTCTCTCTACTTTTGTATATGTTTGAAATGTTCCATATAAAGTGTTTTCTTTTAAAAAAATCCCATTAATTTAGAGGAAATAATTACAGAGAAAAAATATGTACAAAGATATTTAAAGTAGTATAATTAATAATAAAACCTAAAACAACTATAAATTTCTACAAAGGAAGAATGTTTAAATTAATTATGAGATAATAATACTATAAAATATTATATAGCCATTAAAACAATAAAGATTATACTGACATAGAAAAATGAAAGTGTCCTATGAAATCGAGTTGAGGGGAAAAATCAGAATATATACATATATATATACACACACACACACACACTCAAATATACAATTATAATAGTTACATGAAAATGATGTTAAGGACTTAAAAAGAACATAAAGAAATAAACATAAATGTTGGATATTGATGTGAAATTTTGGGGTAAAGTCTTCATTGTTTTCTCTCCATTTAGTTTTTAAAATAATTTTATAAAGTAAAACATGTATCAACAAACGCATGTTTACTTCAGAAATTTTGGCAAATAAGTAGTATAATGTTTACCAGCCACCTCAAACTTAACATCCAAAAGAGATCCCTCCTTTTCCTCCAAACCTGCTGTTGCTAGGTCTTCCCCATCTTAATAAATAGCATAACCATTCATCCAATCCTTCACTCCACAAATCTAAGCGTCATCCTTGATTCCTCTCTTTCATCCATGCTCACTACACATTAGCGAAACTCGTCAGCTCTATCTTCAGCTAAGTCCCCAGTCCAGCCATTTCACCACCTCTCCCTGGCCTAAGCCACCACCGCCTCTTGCCTGAACTATTGGCACAGACTGCTCACTGGTCTTCTGGCTGTCTCCCTCCCTTCTGGCCTCACTGGCTTTCTCGACATTCCTCAAGCACATCAAGCTCATTTCTGCTTCAAGACCTTTGCATCCGCTGTTCCCCTGGCCTGCAATGTTCCTACTTCCAGGTATTCTCATGACCTGCCCCTCACTTAATTCAGGTTTCTGCTGAGATGTCTCCTTAGAGGAGTCATCCCTGATTACCCTAAATAAAGTAACTCTTGCAGCCCCTTACTTTCTTCTTCAATCACTACCTAGAACTTTATATAAATAAATATATGTGTGTGTATATATATAATTTTTAAGTTTTATAGAATTTTTAGATGCCTGAAAGCTTTGCATTTTATCTTGTGAATTCTAGTAATCTTCTCTTTAAAGTTTTCCTCCATTGCCTCTGTGCTTATAATTATTAAACCTTATTTAATAATATAAAACAGACACATAGACCAATAGAACAGAATTGGGAGCCAAGAAATAAACTATGTATATACGGTCAACTAATATTTAACAAGGGAGCCAAGAATACTCAATGGAAAAAAGAGAGTCTCATAAATAAATGTCGCTGGGAAAACTGGATATTCACACGCAAAAGAATGAAACCGGAACTCTATCTTACACCATTCACAAAAGTTAACTTGAAATGGCTTAAAGACTTAAATGAAAGAGCTGCAACAGTAATACTCCTAGAATAAAATATAGGGAAAAAGCTCTTTGACATTGTCCTTGGCAATGATTTTGTGGATATGACACCGAAAGCACAAGCAACAAAAAGCAAAAATAAATAAGTGGGACTGTATCAATCTAAAAAGCTTCTGCATAGCAAAATAAACAATAAACAGAATGAAAAAGTAACTTCTGGGATGGGAGAAAATATCTGCAAACCACATATCTGACAAGGAGTTAATATCCAAAATATACAAGGAACATATATAACTCAATAGCACCCCCCCCCTCCATAAGCCAATTGAAAAACAGGCAAAGGACCTGAATAGACATTTTCCCAAAGAAGACATACAGATTGCCAACAGGAACACGCAAAGGTGCTCAACATCACTAATCAACAGAGAAATGCAAATCAAAACCACGAGATATCACCTCACACTTGTCAGAATGGCAGTCATCAAAAAGACAAGAAATAACAAGTGCTGGCGAGGATGTGGAGGAAAGGGAACCCATGCACGCTGTTGGTGGGAATGTAAATTGATGTGACCACTAGGGAAAACAATATGCAAGTTTCTCAAAAAATTAAAAATAGAACTACCATAGGATCCAGCAATTCCACTTCTGGGTATATATCCAAAGTAAGTAAAATCACTATCTTGAAGAGATATCTGCACTCTCAGTATTATTTAGAATAGTCAAGACACAGAAACAACCTAAGTGTCCATCAATAGATGAATAGATAAAGAAAAGGTAATATATGTATACAATGAAATATTATTCAGCCATAAAAAAGAAGGAAATCCTGCCATTTGCAATGACATGAATGAAGACTGAAGGCATTATGCCAAGTGAACTCAGTCAGAAAGGGAAAGACGAATACTGTATGATCTCACTTATAAGTGGGATCTAAAAAAAGTCAAGTCATAGAAACAGAAAACAGATCAGTGGCTGCCAGGGGTAGGGGGTAGGGGAAATGGGCAAAGGTGGTCATAGGGTACAAAGTTTCAGTTATAAAATGAGTAGGTTCTAGGAATGTCACATACAGCATGACGATTATAGTTAAGAATAGTCAAGTCACTAAGAGAGTAGATTTTACAAGTTCTCACCGCACACTCAAAAAGAATTGTGACTGTGAGGTGGTGGAAGGGCTAACCACCCTACTGTAGTGATCATTTCATAGCACGCACATCACCAAACCATCACACCGGACACCGTACACTCACACGATGTTATACGTCAACTATATCTCAATAAAGCTGGAAAAATAATACAAGATTTTTAAAAATTTAAGATATTAGAAAAAAATGTCCTTTCAAAGTATTTCAAAGGACACTATTTCGGGCACTAACTGTATTTGGAAACGCTTTCTGGCTCATTCATTTCTTTGTCGGGTATTTCCATTTTGCTACACATCCATTCTCTGCACGCACAGGCCATTGATTGAGGGTCTATTGTGCGGACGGCAGATGCCAAGTGCCGAGGGGAACGAGGAAGGACAGAAAGTCCTATGCGAGTTATCTTTGCATGGTGCCAACCACAACACCATCTGCAATTAGGTACATAATAAATACTCTCAGAAAACAATAGGTTTTGTATACTTGTCAAATTAGACCCTTTGGGAGAACATGAACCATTAGATCTGATAATAAGAACAGATTCTATGTTCATATTCTAAGTGTGAACCTGGTGAGTAGACTGTAGACAAACAGAGGTAAAAACAGATCCGAATATGAAGGCCAGTCAGGGACAAGAATCCTTAACCCCTCCTCCGCTAAGACCACCTTTGGAGTAATCTTCCCGGCTCCTACCCATAACCCTTGGGGTTCCTGACGTTGCCTGTGGCCCTTCTATGTGCTGTAATTTGAGGCTGCCCCAAAGTGTACAGTTGGTGCAAGAACTATGACCTCTTCCTCCTTGGCCTTCTTTTTGGCATCGTCCAACTTCTTCTTTTTGCTTTCAGGCATGAGATCATCTAACCAGCTCAGCTCTCGCTTAGAGAAACAGAGATCCATGACTTTCCTGACAAAGACCAAGGCCAAAACCTGAAGAAAAATAAAGAAAGTGAATTAAAGGGGCTCATTTCCTTCCTGGAGTTAAAAGCAAACTCTTATTTTCACAGCGACTAGGGCATTTCAAGCAAAATCAAATTCATAATAATCATGATAGTTGCCTTTTATCGAGTGATCCCTTTGGGGGGGGCGGGGGCAGCCACACTCAGCCCAAGGGTGCCTCACGGTGGGGTGAGGGGCCTGGAAGGACCATCTGGATTTCCTCCCATCCTTTGCCTGTACATTTCCCCACAAAATCCTTGCTTTATGCCTGCACCGTGGGTCTCTAGGGGATTTTGTCTCTGCCCTCTGGCTTGGCCTGACGCCCATTTCATAAATGAGAAAACTGAGGCCCAGGGAGAGAAAGTGCTTGCCTAAAATCTGACAGCTAATTTCCTCAATAGGAACAGGTCAGGGTGTCTCAGCTGCTGCTCCACTTTTTTCCCACGAGAGCCATTTTAGCCAAAGGGGAACCAGTAATAACCCAGAAGGATCTGCCTGGATTAACTGCTGTTCACCAGCTACATCTGGTGGCTGGACAAGGAACGAGGCAAATCAGGTTTGTTAAATTCAACCAGATTCTCCCTAATTTCAATGATTATTTTCTCAATAAATCCAAAATTGATAGTATCCCTTCCAGGAGTTGTCAGGAGTTTGCTAGTTCTTTCACCAAACACTCAACCTGTGAACATAAGGCCCAGACGCAGAACTCTACATGCAGTCTGACAAAATGGAGAAACCCATCAGGAGGGCACATATCTTGGAGATTAAGGGAAAAGATGCTCCCCCCCCCACCCCGTGTTCTCACCCTTGAAATATCTCCCAGTAAGCCAGAGTTCAGCAGTACCTAAACCAGAACCAAACATTACCCTCAGTGCCTTTTCTCTCTGGAGGCCCAGGCTTTGGGTAACTTTCAAACAGCCCACTGAATTCTCAGCATCCTCATGACACAGAGTGAGCCAGAGAGGAGAAGGCACCAAGAGAAGACGAAACAGTGAGGTGGTCAGGTGGCAAGAATTTCGTCATCACCCTAGTTTTGGGAAACAGCTTGTACCCTGCTGCAGCACACACAGTTCAGCTTCCCGGGTCCCCTTTCCAGAGCCCTTGCTGCATTTAGTAAGCAGGTGAGGCTACGCAGTCACTAATCAGGGCTGGACCAAGCTCCTCCTCTCTCCCAGCGGCTTACAGCAGTGCACTGCTACCATTTTAGGTGCTTCTGACTCCAATAAAGCCTAAATTGGAACTATATTGCTTTGAAGGAATATGCGAATTACTGCAAACATTAAGAATCCTCTCCATGTCAGATTCATGAAAGGAAGACAGACAGACAGACTGACTGAAAGCCTGGAAAATAAACATGGCAAACTGTCACACATGTATTCACACCTCTAGGTCCCCAAAATAGTGTTGCTCCTGCAAAGACCAACCAAAAAACAAAAATGTACCATCAATAAAAGATTAATATCCAGTACATATAAAATTTCTAAAATTCAACAACAAAAAAATAAAAAACCTGATTAAAAAACGGGCAAAGGACTTGCACAGACATTTCTCCAAAGAAGATATACAAATAGCCAATAAGCACATGAAAAGATGCTCAACATCACTAGTCATTAGGGAAATGCAAATCAAAGCCACAGTGAGATGCCACTTCACACCCATTAGGATAGCTGTATTCAAAAGAAACCCCAAAACACAACAGAAAATAAGTGTTGGCAAAGAGGTGGAGAAATTGGAACCTGATGTACTGCTCGTAGAAATGTAAAATGGTACAGCTGCTATGAAAAACAGTACAGTGGTTCCTTAAAAAACTAAAAATAGAATTACCATATGATCCAGAAATCCTACTTCTGGGTACATACCCAAAAGAATTGAAAACGGGGACACAAACAGATATTTGTACGATTCGCGTATATAGCAGCATTATTTACAACAGCCAAAGGGTGGAAGCAATCCAAACGTCTATTGCCAAATGAATAGGATAAACAAAATGTGGTATGTATATGTATGTATGTATGTGACAGAAATTATGCAGTCTCTAAGAAGGAAGGAAATTCTGACACACGCTACAACATGGAACCTTGAAGACATTATGCTAAATGAAATTAAGCCAGGCACAAAAAGACAAACACTGTATAATTCCACTCGTATGAGGTACCTAGAGTAGTCAAATTCTGGAGACAAAAAGTAGCATGGTGGCTGCCAGGGGCTGGGGGGAGGAGGGAATGGGGTGTTAGTGTTTAATGAGTCAGAGTTTCAGTTTTGCAAGATGAAAAAAGATGGATGGCAGCAACAACAGTTGCACAATAATGTGCATGTACGTAATGCTAACGATCTATACACTTAAAAATAGTGAAGAGGGTAAATTTTATGTATATTTTATCACTATTTTTTAAAATAACTAATAATAATTTTTCAAAACTCACCATCATTGGAAAGACAATGGCAGCTGGAGACGCCTTGATGACCCAGAGCAGGACAAGGCAGGTGAGCTGGATGAGGGTGAAGAGGTGCACCTTGCGCAGTGGCACGTGCCGCAGGTAGATAAAGTCTGGCTGGTGCTTTGCAGGCATCCCAAAGAGCTTCAGACGGTCAAAGAACTGAAAGGAGGGAACTGGCACTTACTTTCAGGAGGTTTCTCTGGGTCAGAAGCCTTGTTCGGCCCATTCATGTCTCTCACATCACCTGCTCTGAAGGGCAGGTAATACCCTCTCCACTGGACAGAAGTGGAAATGGGGACTCAGAGAGACCAAGGATTTTGGCCAAGGTTGGTAAGTGACAGAGTCAAAATCTGAAATCATCTTTTCTAATTCAAGGTTCGAATTTCTTCTCCTCTCCCACACTGTGGTTTCTCAGATCTTTCTCAGGAGAATTGAGAAGAAAAGAAACCATTTGCATCTTTCCTCTTATTATCAAAACCAAAGCTCTTACTTGTTCTTTGAAGAGTCTGGAGCTTTCATTGATTATTTATAGCAAAAAGATAAAATGAAAGCTCATAACATTCTGGATATGAAAAACTGACCATTCTTACATTATAAAAAGGAAAACAGAGACCCAGAGAGGTTAAGTAACCTGCTCAAGGTCGCAGTAGAACTCAGTGTGTAAGAACGCCCATTGCACACTCCATAAAAACAGAGAGGAACCAGCTGCCAATAGAAGCGGCCGCTAAGTTATCTCACCTCTGGGACACCCCGTTATTAGTGACAAGCTCCTGATAATCTCTGTTCAATGGCCTGAGGAATGAGTTGGTAGATGGGAGAAGGCAGAGTACGACAGGGAGTAATATCTGCTTATCTGGAGGTGCTCCCACGACTTCCCAGTGTCCTCGTCAGTGTACCCCTAGTTAGCCCCCTCTCTCATACTTCAGCCTGGCACTAAAACCAGCACTGTCCACGTGCGGAAGCGAGTTTGGTTCTTGACCAATCTTTCAGATCTAAGTTTACCAATATCTGGCGAAGCACCTAGTGTTTAATATGAGCCTGATAATTATCTGATGAATAATTAACGAATGACTGGAACCATGACATCAAGCCAGGTCACCCTGGAAGTCTCTGTACCCTCATGTCAACATAACTGTATTTTGCCCAATGTCCAAAGAAATGTCTAAAATAGCTTAACCACCAAGACTAGGAAATGGTTTCTCAAGAACTGGTTTGTGCTTCTCCTGGGGAGCTGTCCCTCCCTGGTCAGGACCGGTGAGCTCACACTGAGAAGACACTGCCCTGGCTGGACCATACAATACCTGAATTCCCTGTAGAGAAGAAACGCCCATGTAGAGGAAAACGCCATAGAGTACTGGCATCGGGATGAACTGAGGACCAAAGGGCAGAAAGACCACAAGTTAAACTTGGTATCATAGCACACTCAAGACCATATACACGTTCAAATCTCCAAGAAGGAAGCAAAGTCACAAAATCACCGCATAAGCATTGTGCTAGTTTCTGCTGCCTTTATATGATTTAGAAGTAGAAGCAAAAACAGAAGCTGGCAATAATAAAAATCATTTTGTTCTGAAATGAAATGATTACACGTAAGTGCAACGTGGTCCTGGTTCAATCATAGGCCTCACAGCTCACCTCTATCTGGCTCTTCCTTCTCCCTGGGGATGGGCACGCGCACACATGCGTGTGCACATGCAGACACACACACACCGCTCTTTTACGGAGTTGATACCTTTTCATTCTTTTGTAATTACATGATCATCTCCTCAGGGATTTGGGGTATTTTAACATGGACTAAAAAAGGTTCCTTTTTTACTAACCAGAAAATCGAGGGCAGGAGTGGGGGGTACCTTATCAGAGAGGGAATGATTTGAGAAGAAATATCAACACTATTCTATTTCACTTGAACACACACACACGTACCATGTGCCATCTGTCACCCTAGGTCATCTTCGGAGGGACTTTTTGAGGTAGGGAAACGAGGCCTACAGAATCAAGGCAGAGAGTCTCACAGCTGAAAACTCAACTCAACTTGCTTTTATCGTGGGGCTAAAGAAACTTGCCAGACAGAACTCCTCTCAGAACTAGAAAATCTGCATTGGCTTTTACGTTGTTCCAGCTCTACAGTGAGTAGACACCTCAATCTGGTGCTAACCTTGTGTGTACAACTATTGAATGCTTTCCTAAAAGAACCCCCCTGAGACAGTCACAGGAAGGCCAGGCGACGCCCACCACCACGGCTTCATGGTTACATTTCTGGAGGAGCAGCAACCTCTGGGCTCCTCCGGACGGCACCTAACCAGAAGTGGGAGTGGGGGTACAAGAGAATAGAAGTAGAATGGGGAAGGGACATGAGGAAAGGCGGCAAGATTGAGTGGAAAGTAAGGGGACAGGACAATGGTTCAGAATCCTTTCCCATCCCTCTCGATTCTCACCCTTAAACAGCATCTGCAGTGCAGGCTGGGGTGCGTGAAGATTCACCACAAAGACAGGGAAAGGAGGCAAGAGAGATAGGTAAGTGCTCTGGAATGGTTGGGGCTTGGTGATATGGCCATGGAGCTTTCACCCCATTTTTCCCAGATGTAAGCCTAACACCCACACAAAAAATTTTTCTGATGTTTAAGTATCTTCCATCTTTCCAAAAATCCTCTTTTAACCCCACATCTCACACTAACCACTGCCCATTCTTCTGTTTCACTTCACAGGAAAACCTCTTGCAAGAGTTGTCTGCCCGCACTCTCCTTACTTCCTCCCCTCCTATTTACTCTTCAGTCCTGTTACTCCGCTGCGGCCCCATTGTTCCACTGAGTCTGCTCTTCTAAAGTCACGTTAGGCCTCCATGTTGCCAAATCCAATGGCCATGCTTTAGTCTTCACCTTCCTAGACAGCTTCTAACCTTCTTGAAACACTCCCCTCGTTTGGCTTCCCTGACCACACGCCCTCCTGGTTTCCCTCCTACCATTCTGGCAGCTCCTTCTGACTCTCTGTGCTATCTCCTCATCTACCCAACTTCTAAACATTGGAGCTCCTTAGACTCTGCTCTTCCCTCTGGTCCTACTTTTCTTTTACCTCTATCCTTCTCCCTGAGCAAGCCTCTCTACCCTCTTGCTTTCAACACTACCCATGTGCTGTTGACGCCCACATTTTACTTTTAGTCCAGAACCTTGCCCTAGCCTCGTCACTCAGGTGCCTCCAGGACATCTCACCCAAAGTCTGACCACAGCCCACCCCTTACAAAATCACATCCTCCTTCACGCAGTCTTCTCCATCTTAAACGCCCTCACTCTCCACTCTGATGGTCAAGTCAGAACCTGGCTGCCATTTTCATTTTTCCACTTTCTTCACCCCATTCTACATCCAGTCAACCATCAGGACCTTTGGATCTGCCTCCAAGATGTACAGAAGCCGTGCCTTTTATCCGCCCCTACTACTGACTTCCTCATCCAAGCCACCATCATCTCTCATCTTTAACAGTTTCACTGGTCTCTCTGCTTCTATTTTCCCCTAACCCTAAAAACTCATTCTCTAGGCATCAGCCAGAGTGATCTTTTCAAAATACTAAATGGATCATGTTCCTCTCCTGTGAAACCCTTCAAAGGCTACCTTTACCAGTGTCAACAAGGCCCTGCGTGATCTGCCCCTGCTCACTCTTCACTCTCACCTCACTGTGCTCTTGCCTTCACTCAACACCCTTGAGCCACATGGCCCTGATATTTCCTAGAACACATACCACCCTTTCCCACCTGAGGGCCTGACTCGACTGCTTTTCTCCCTTTCCCCCAGGCCTTCTCCCACCATCCATGGCATGGCTGGCTCTACCTCATCTTAAATACCATCTCCTTAGAGAGGCCTTCTCTGACCACACTACCCAAACCAGCACCCCCTTAATTCTCTATAGCTCCACAGAGTACAACATATTTCCTTTTACCACTTATCATATTCTGTAATTATCATGTGTGTTTTCTTAACTAACTTTCTTAACCACTTCTTACCTGTCTTACCCTGCTAAAATAAGACCTTTCAGGGCAGGTACTTGTATGTGTATCTGTTCAGCATACCACTGTCTTCTCAGCACCTAACAGGATTCTGCGTGCAAATCAGGCACTCAATATTCAATATTACCCAAGGAGTGAATGAATGATTACCTTCAATATAGCCGTCATGAAGACTGAGCAGCCCATCAGCACAAAGATCATAAGGCCTGTCACTCTTTGCTCTCGGATGCCTAAGAACTTGGGCTGTTCCCCAGGAGCAGAGCACTCAGATTCCAGTTTTAGGCTGTTCACGTGTGTGATGGACAAGACAGTTGCAGCCACAAACCAGGGTAGGCCCATGATGGAGCAGACACCCAGCATGATGGCCACCATCAGCAGGTCCAGGTGGTAGCCACAGCCTTTCTGTGGGGAAACAGAGTCTCTGTCACCATCAGTGGGCTGGCTGTAGTAGGACATAGAACAGTGAGCTGAGAGTCTCAGGCCCAAAGCAGGAAGGGGTGTATGGGTAAGGTCAGTGGTCTCAGACAGGTTTCCCAGTCCCTGCTGGTTTAGAGGGAACAGAGAAGAAAAAGGGAAATCTTAGCCTGTCCTAACATGCCAATATCCATTCTTTAGCCAAGAGCCCTAAGATCTCACCCTGAGTATCCACACATGCAAAGATTCATCCTTTCTCAGCAGAGTAACCAGAAACCAAGTCACATATTGACCATTCTAGATGGTAGACATCAAAATAGTTGGAGATAAATGACCTTATTGGGTCCCTACAACACACCCCCAGATCCTTGCCAAATCTGATGTTGCCTACTCTAAGTAAGGAAAGAATAGAAACAAAAGCACAAAGTCTCTAATAAATGTACTGCAACCAACCCTACCTCCCTAGGATCCTTGGGCTCAAGGTTCACTCTGGAAACCCCAGTAACAGACACCAGTGGGAGAATACTGCCTCTAGAAAACAGTGGCCCAAACCCCGACCTGAATCTCAGGAAGATAAGCCTGATTCAGAGCACGTGGCTATACAGGGACCACCAGGAACTCTGCCCACCCACCTTCCCGCAGGTTTGAGAGGAGATTAACAGAGTCCTAGCTTCTTTTACAGCATACCATCATGCCCTACTCTAGGGACTGGAACCCCCTAAAAACTCCTTATGAGCTCCTTCCAGTCTGCTTTTATCCAGGTTCTACAGTTCCTGGTCTAAATGGGCTTACCTTAAAATCAAAACACGTAACAAACTGCCATTAGTCCTTCTAGGTTAGAACTTCTTGGTACCTTAAGCTTGTGTTCCTTCCTGTTAATGATGACAGCTGTGATCTGCTGGTCCATGAATATTAAGATAGTGCAGAGAAGAGCTGGGATAACTGCAGCTATCACAGTCCACCAGGGGTTGGGGCCGATGGGACTAATAATCCACCCTCGATCATCCCTTGTTGGCTAAAGGGAAAAAATAGAGTTTTATTTTTGTATTTTAAGTTAACTATAGTAATTAGGGCAAAACAGATCAAACTGAATCACAATATTCACATTTCTTTTTATTCTTGAATGAGAATCCTTAAAAAAAAAAAAAAGGCATGAAATACAGCAACTCCTTAGGAAATCTATGACCTTGCTCCAAATCCCCTTTGAAAGAGTCACTCCTCAACTGTCAACTTCCTGTGGAATATTCATTGCTCCTTCACCTCCTTCCCCTACTCTCCAAACCCTGTGGACAGAGAAAGCAACTTTATCTCAACATTAGGCCAAGTAAAAGATAACTGGTAACAAAATCTGTCGACAAAAAAGAATTTAATGACTTCCAGAGACAAATATAAACAACTGTGACTAGCCTCCTCAGCGCTTTCCTCAGAAGCCGTATAATGTGTGTCCACAGCACAAGGAAAGAAAAAGGAGAGCCAGCTGCATGCTAGCTCACAGGCTTAGACTGCATCGGTCCAGAGGCCTTCTCCCTTCAGCAGTGAAGCAGGGGCCCAGGCACCGGAGGCTTGAGAGAGGAGCCCAACACTGCCGACCCTGGGGACCTTTGATCCAGGGTCCCCTCCAATGTCCCTGTAAACCGCTGTTTAGAGACCTTATTTGTGTGTTCATGACATGCCTAAGTGCCCTAGACCCTCCCAAAGCCCCAGGGCACTCGGGGGAAGAGAAGCTCACCTTGCTTAGCAAGCAGTACTGCAGGATAAGTCAGGGATCAAAACCGGCCCAAACTCAATGAAAGAAGCAAAGACTGTTATATCCAAAGTACTTGGTTCCATATTGTTCCCAACTCTAGGATTCAAAGACTCTTCAATAACGTCACCATGTCCCAAATTATGAATGGGTTAGGTTCTGAAAGTTTACAGAATCTATGTCTCCTTAGTAGCAATGTTCTAAGTGATAGTTAAACTCTCAGGCCAACACAAAAACCTATTAAACTCTGACTGACATTAACTCGTTAGCAAGAGTACTAGCCTTCAGATTGGGTCTTGGTCGCTGGGGGCCATGTGGTATAACAGAGAAAGAAAGAAGGAAGAAAATTTCTTCTCTGCTTCCTGAAAGCGAGGTCTGCCAATGAGCAACATTTTCTTTGACATTCTCCCAATTCCCTTTCTCATCTCTCCCACCTCCCAGAGGCCTTCTTCCCAGATGTCCCAGAAATTCAGTGCCTTCTGACTATCTTAAGCCTACCCATCAGGGAACCTTTCCAAGGACTGCTTAATGCTCCCAAATTACTTATTTTTACACAAAATCCACTCCTCCTGCAGGGTTGACCACAGCGAGATATTGCAGAGAAAGCTGATTGCGCTCATTCACACAAAGGTGACAATGACGTAGTCTCAGAGGCATTACATTTTTAAAGAGGGAGATTTTTAATCCATAAATTTGTGACTGGTGGCATTTCAGCAAATTCAACAAAATAAAATTAAAAAGTTTCAGGCAATATGGAAAAAGATATTTTTAACCAGGCCTACTGGAGGGAGAGAGGGAGGGAAAGAAAGACAAAGGCCGTCTGTGTGTACCAGTATGGACTGCCTTCATTCCTGTCTCCCTCCTCCCGGCCTGGCCAGCCTCTCCTTTCATACTTCTCCTCCAGCCACTGAGTACGCCCAGGCTTTCTCTTCTCTCCACCCTGTGGGGATCTATGCAACTGAGCTCAGCTCTTCCATCTTCTCGCTTTACTCAGCTAGTGGCCCCAAACTGAAATAGATTTGGAGTCCCTCCGTATTAATCATTTCTTTTACTTTTTGTATAAGTTTTTTTGAAAAATATTATAGATTATAGAGAGTTATACAAACAAACAATGAAATAAGGTTGAAGAGATGTCACAATTACTTTGGCAGGGGCCCTAGACCCTGGGTGAGGCCCCTCAGTCAGCCCACCTCCTCACACGGCAAGATCCTTGAGCCGAGGGGCCAGGTCCAACATTTAGCTTTTTCATCCTTCCCAGGGCCCTTAAACAGGTGATGCTCAATGAAACTGCTGTAAACCAGACTTCTTTCAGAGACCCACGTTTCCACAGTTTCTGGTATATATTTATATAAATGTACACATTTTTTGTTTTAAATCTTAACATATTAAAAACAATAAGTGGCATTAAGGATAATAAATAATACTTTTCATTCATTAAACAATCTTAGGTTTCTGTTCTCTGACTTTTCTGACCTGAACTCAGCCAAGCCTGCAGAGTCTGCTCTCCTGAGTGGTGAGGCATGAGGAGCAAGGTTCAGATTTAGAAGACTACAAAACTCATGATTCGGGTATGGGAAGGCCTTTGACATCAACTCAGGACCAGATTCTATGAAACTACAAGAGGGCACCAAGTACCCTGAGACTTGCTTACCTTGAACACACTGGGAACTTGAAGCTTTGGTGACGGGACTCCAATCAAAAAGTCAATAATCACCATTGTGAAGATAGTAAGGAAAACAGCAAAGTCACTCACCATGGAGCGCACCTGGCATGAGAAAGCGTTGGAAAAGGGTTTTAGTAGGTTAAATGTGGTAGAAAAGAACTTAGTATTGTAAAAGGTTTAAAAATCCTCAGAAGAATGCTTTAATTTTATAGGTGAATTAATACAAGCATATTTAAACAAAGAAATATGTTGATATGCCCAAGCTAATACCCAAAAAGTGTGGATATGATGGGGGAGAATGAATCATGTGACAAACTCTAATGTAACCCACCCCAACCTCTGAAGAGTTCTGTTTGGAGCATTTATGGCCAGGTTTAGGCAACAGCTCCGAGAACTTGGAAGGAGACGTTCTGGGACCAGCCAAGGTCCATTCGTGCCGGCCAGGAACCTCGGCAGCAGCATCAACCCCTCTTCTCCCTCAACCCAACACCTGATCCATCTGCATGCGAGTCCTGCTGGCTCGACCTTCAGAACTTATCCAGAATCTGAGCACTTCTCAGCCCTCCACTGTCCCTACCCAGACCAAAGTCACCAGCAGCTCTTGTAGCACACTCTTAACCTCGCTCCTGCCCTTCATTAAGCCACCGAAGTGATCATTTAAAACATAAGGCAGATCACATCACTCCCCTACCAAAGCCCTGAAAATGGATCCTCATTTCACTGAGTTAAAAACCCAAAGGCCTTCTTGGCCTCTGAGGTCCACGCACTGGCATCGTTATGTCTCCGCCCCCAGCTCCTAATGCTCTCCCACTCGCTTGCTCTGCTCCAGCCACAAAGACCTCCTTGTTGCTTCTTAAACATGCCAGACTCACTCTCACCTCAGGGTCTTTGTACTTGCTTATCCTTCTCCACAAATGCTTTTCCTCCAGGTCACCTCTTGGGTAGTTCCCTCATCTCCTTTACGTTCACTCAGATATCACCTCCTCCATGAGATCTGTTCTGATGATCCTACTTAAAATTGGTCACCACTCTCCACCCCAGCACTTCCTAGACTCCTTTCCTGCTTTATTTTTCTCCATAGCACTTATTCTATTCTGTCCCCAAGAGGACTATCCCACCGTATAGTTTCGTGTAGCTTTAATAAAATACAATGCTTCTGAAACACCCAGTGCCTGCCATAATCTGAATTCTAAGACATAGAGCAAAACATGTCTTAGCCACAGGTAACATCACTGACGCCTTAACCTGGCTTTGCTTTCCTTTGAACCTGAGGCTTCCAGTTCCCCCTCCCTGGCTTTGTTAGTTCTCCTCTGAATGTGACAAAAATTCTCTCAACATGCAGCTGCCCCACCAAAGCCCATCTTGACCATCCTGGGGCCCAGTGGCCCCTCTCTCCTCTGAACTCCTATAGCACTTACATCCCAGGTTGGCATCCAACTCTCTACTACTGTCTCGTATGGACCTGGTGGTTTCATGGGTTTCCCCTTCCTATCTGATGGCAGAGACCATGTTTTAAACTTCTTTTGCATCCCCCATAGCACTTAACCGAGGCCTCAGCAAGTAGTTAGTACACAATTGCCTTGCGTTAACTATTTGTCCAGACAAGAAACAATGACCCCAAACTTACTTAATATGCACCGCCCTTAACTACTGCATAGGCTCACTGAAGTCTAAGAACATGTTCTAGTCACATACATATGTAAATATCTAATCACCCTAGCCCCCCCACCTAGTCACACATCCTGCTCTGCAAATGTGCCTGAAGAAACTCACTTACAGAAAAGCCCCCATTCTCTTGATTCTAGCACCTTTTCAAAGCAATGACTGCTTTATCCACTCTACACTTGGCCTCTAATTCTGCCCTGCCAAAACCGGTCACAATACAAACAGTGCCATCGCATCAGGGAAGGCTGCTGAGGCTTCAAACAGTCATGCAAACCAAGTCAGGAGCATTCTAGCTGCTGCAGTCAATGTCACCAGTGGTGTCACAAGCTTCACAAAGCCATCCCCGGGAGGAGACTCTGGGGTTTCCTACATATCTGAAACTATCATCCCAAATTACTATACTCAGGAACCAGCTCTAGCTATCGGATGCTCCATGTACCAGCATTCTGGAAATGACATTTCAAAGCTTTTAGAGAACACTACCACCACCTTAAACTCACCTGGCACTTTTAAATCAAAAAGTTTTTAAGTATTAACCCCTCATACCACACATGAAAGAGGCTCCGGACACTAGAAGAAGAGAAAGCTACTGTGTGGTTCATCAGGACATTTGGAACTCTCCACCTGCCTGTCTACTCATCAAGCAACACGGAGGCTGAGAGCCAGCTCTGTTACAGTAGAATTCTACCACAAAAGAAATGCATGAGCATGCGACCTACTCTGGTTGGAAAATAGCGGCTTGTCTTAAATGTCTTTAAGGTGCTCGAGAGGATGAAGGTGGTGAAGAAGAGAATGCAGGACCAAAAGAGCACATCAGGAGTATAGGGTCCGTGATGGCCACACGCAGATCCCGTGAACTCTCCATGCATCTCCTGGCATTCCTGGAGGAACAAGTATTCTGGGTGATGCAAGGCACACATGAGGGAATAAATGACTGTTGCCTCTGACCTGGCACTCACTGTCATCCCACGGTGGCTGGGGAGTGCAGGCTGCCAGCAGCATCCACTTGACCTCCACATAGTTGTGGGGCTCTCACATGCACAAGCCCCTTCCAAGTAGGCTGACTGTTAGGGTCCTAAGATGCTTTTGAAAATGAAACCAGAACTGTCCCAAGGAAGTATGAGCTTCTGGGACGGCTCTAGCAATTTGTATTATTGATTACAGAGGCCTTCCAAATTTGAAGGTTCTTCAAGCCCCACAAAGCCTGGGTCTGCCCCACTGCTCTGCCTGGTTTCATCCCCACATATTCCTGGTGCAGGGTCACTGGATAGGGTACATGTGGGAGAGAAGAGAGAGATAATCTTCTCTTCCCTTGATGTACAAGAAAACTTCTGAAGTGGAAAAAAGTCAGTAAGAATAGTTAAAAAAAAAAAAGCTTTATTTCTGAAAATGCTAGGGCTTGCTAAAGGGCTACCCCCCTTCTACCTAGAAAGGCCCTCTTAAACCTGTGGTCACATTGCTACCCCACCTGGCAGCTCCCGGACTTACGCTAACAGTCAGGTTAGCCCAGTGGACTTCTGCTGTCACGATGTTGTGGTCCTTCCAGTACTGCAGAGTGTGATTGTTTGGATTCTCTGGGAGGGAACACCTGCAGCTGAGGGGAAAGAGAAAAAGACTGCTGAGGAAAGTAGTCAAGTAGTTGACATATTTTCAGCTGTGACTGAGCTAAAGGGTCTGTCAGAGCTGCCTATTTCTCCTCTGCCCACTTCAGAGCCCTGAAGTTGGTGCTGTCGGTTGAGGCCCATGTGTAGGCCCAACCACATCCCAATTTTTTAGTCAGTCATCACTAAAGATGGACGCAAACCAGTGTGTGGGTCTTGGATTAAATTGTGCCCCGAATGAGCCCTGGTGGTTTTCTTGCTTAGTTTCTATCTCTTAGGCTCTTTCTATGAAATTCAATCTACATAGCAAGGAGGACCTGATATCCCAGTCAGCTCTCAGCAGCTTCCTCCAAGCCTGGATGTCTTGTTCCCTATACCCGGTCACATTCTTGCTCTAAAAATTGGAGTCTCCTGGAATCAAGATGCAAGCTCTTCCTGACACTGCATTAGCCCTAGAAACATCTCACGCCTCCACCACTCTCAGGCTTCCCCAGGCCTCTTCTTCCATCTAAACCTGTCCATCTGACCAGACCTGTCCCACTGGCCACCATATTGCCTCCCAGTCCCAACATGCTTCATGCCTGAACTGGTTCCCAGTATACTCAACTGATACAGTCATTCCCACCAACTTTGTTTCACCTGTGAATTTAATAAGCTTCCTTCTAAGGATATAGCACGACAGAATTAAAATTCAAAAAGATCTCAACAGTTTATAACGATAGGAGGAATCAACAAAATGAAAATTAATAGGGAAAGCTATAAAGTCCTATATTTAGGTATAAAAAAAATCAATTCCAAATGTGGAAGCAACAAAGATGTCCTTCAGCAGGTGAATGGATGTAGTGGAGTACATCAAGACAATGGACTGTTAGTCAGTGCTAAAAAGAAATGAGCTATCGAGCCATGAAAAGACATACTAGACCTTTAAGTGCACATTACTAAGTGAATGAAGCCAATCTGAAAAGGCTACATACTACACGATCACAGCTATACGACATGGTGGAAAAGGCAAAACTATGGAGACAGTAAAAAGATTTCTGTTCTCCAGAGGTTGGGGTTGGTGGGGGCGAATCAATAGGCAGAGCACAGAGAATTTTTATGGCACTCTAACTGTTCTGTATGATACTAAAACGGCGATGTCATTATACACTCATCAAAACCCATAGAATTTACAATACCAGGAGTGAACCCTAGGGGCTGGCCTGGTGGCGCAGAGGTTAAGTTCGCACGTTCTGCCTCAGCGGCCCGGGGTTTGCCAGTTCAGATCCTAGGTGTGGACATGGCACCGCTTGGCAAAAGCCATACTGTGGTAGGCATCCCACATATAAAGTAGAGGAAGATGCACATGGATGTTAGCTCAGGGCCAGTCTTCCTCAGCAAAAAGAGGAGGATTGGCGGCAGATGTTAGCTCAGGGCTAATCTTCCTCAAAAAAATAAATAAATAAAATAAAATAAAAAATAAACTATATTCTAAAAAAAAAAAAAAAAGAGTGAACCCCTAATGTAAACTACAGACTTTGGGTGATAACGATGTGTCAATATAGGTTCATTGATTGCAACAAATGGGCACTCTGGTGGGGAATACTCATAGAGGGGGAAGCTGTGCATGTGTGGGGGTGAGGAGTATATGGGAACTCTCTGTACTTTCTGCTCAATCTTGCTGTGAACCTAAAGCTGCTCTAAAAAACCTAAGTCTCTTAAAAAATCAATTCCACACATATTAACATAAAATCATTCAAAAAGCTGGGGCGTTCTAGCTGCACATCAGCTCCATACAAACCAGCAGGGGAATGCAACTAAGAAAAACGTCATCTTGAGCTGTATTAACAAAGAATTACAGGATCCAGATCCAAAGCCTACTCCGGCCAGGGCTGGTCACTCTTATCTACCTTCTCCGACTAGGATATAAGCCTCATGAAGGTAGATCCTCTGTGTGTCATATTCACCGCTATGTTTCAGGGCCTAAAACAGTGCCCAGCACACAGTAGATGCTAAACAAATATTTGTTAAATGAATAAATGAATGATGCAAAAGGTCAAAGAATAAATCTTACTCCGATGCCAATGGGTAATCCAGTAGGCTTCAAAGATTATACTCCCTAATGGTTATTTTGTAATAAAATAATTTTTAAATTCTAATACATTTTTTGTGAATTCTGGATTTTAAAAGGTTAACGAACAGACAACTAGACTCTATAAAAGTGTGTATGCAGCTGGTTGGCAGACGCCTCCGTGCAGGGTGCCCACGTGGCGCAGGCGTTCCAGGTGGAAAGGGCTCCCCTCACCACCAGAGCCTCCATGTCCGAACTGTGCAGCCAGAGGGAGGGAACCTGACATACAGAGCTAAAGGACAAGGGGCTTTAGTCATAATTTGGAGAACACTATTCCAGAGAAGAAATGTTTTCTAGGACCAGACTCTCCTAGATGGTGGAAAACACAGCCAAACACTGTATTTCTTCTCCAGCTGATCCAGGCTATACTAAGCATGTGAAGAAAACAAAATTTCTTGAATTGAAATCTAGGTAAGTAAACAGATTTCTAGATCTTTAGGATACACAGTAAGAGACGTGTGGATCTGTCAAGAACCATTAACATCTCTCTGTCTAATGAGTGCTAAGAGTAGCCTGTATACACTTGCAGAGAATCTTGATAACACGGTCCAGCATCACAGTCCTTGCAAAAAGAATCACTTCCCAACAACTAACTTCAACTCTCCCTGCTATATTTGCAACCTATTTTTGCCTCAATGTCTGAAACCAAAAGACATGCTCTAGAAGCATTTCTCAAGTCCCCTCTGGGTTTCACTCTTAGTCCTTCCTCTCCATCATCACTTTTGACTGTTCTCCTCTGGCAGCCCCCCAAATCTCCACATCCATATCCGAGCTCTGACTCCCAGAGGGCCAAGACCCCTCCTTAACAGAAGCTACAGGCACTGCCTGGCACACTACATCAGCCATTAAGCTCAGGCCCTTCGCAAAAATTTTTTAAAAGCTAAGCAGAAAGTATACTTACTAATACAGGCTAAGGTGGTCCAGCTGGCTGTGCATGTGGATGGGGTAGGTCTCCGCCAGGTGAATCAACTTTTCTATTGCTTCATAGATGAAAATAATGCAAATCAGGGAGGCAAATGCTTCTTCAGTGAAGCGGGTAATGTAGCAGACAAGGGAACTGGCATCAGTTGCCACAAGGACAATGCACAGGAAGGCGGTCCACAGCCCAATACAAGCTCGCAGGGAGAGGTATGAAAGAGCATAGTCTCTGAAAGAAGACCAAAGTTCGCCAAAAAGCATGGATGGGTGGCATTACGAGACAAAGGGTCACAAATGTGGTTGATTCATCTCATATTATCCATCCCAGTACTGCAACCCAGTTTATCCCAAATTCCAACGGCACTTCACTCCTAAATGCTGCCCTGGGACAGCTGGGACAAAGATTTGCTTCACAAGTGGTATTTGCCATAGCAAGGACATGGAAAGTGGAGAAGGAAGGACTTGTCCCACACGCAGTTCTGCCGTTACTGCCCAATGTGATTAAGATCTTATTTTTGCAGATAAGAAAAAAGGAGATGGCCCTTGTTCCACATGATAGTACAAAAAGAAAACAAGGTTTTATAGGAAAATTAGGGAAATGAGGGCATTGCTGAGTCCTGCCACTGCTGGCAACCAGAATATGAAAGGGGATATTAGGCCAAATTAAAAATTGACTTGAAATGGAAATGGAGGAGTGTGAATCAGCTAGGGAAAGTTTTTTTAAAGATAAAAAGTCAAGACTTCAATAATGGCTGAGGATGTTAATAAAGCCCAGGAGATCTGCTGTCTTAGGCACGGTACTACCTGGCGGCAGGACAAGAGACCAAATGTGGTTCTTCCTTCAGGTTTTTACAGTCCAGAATGCTATTTGCCTGCTTATACCTGCCTAGGACCCTGGCATTCGATCCTAACAGCACAAGAGCACATCCAGTTAGAGTTTTCAGAAAACCAATGTCTTACTTGCAGAATTTGAACAAAATCTTTTCAAACACAAGCACTGGCCCAGTACTTCCCAGGATGGTGAGAGCCTGTCCCGCAAACAAGGAATAGGCGATCCCGGTCATGGAGGCTCCAAACAAGGATTCAATTGCACTCTGAGAGGGAAACAAAAATCATCACTGAGTCCGCAGCCCATCTGTCATGAGTGACGTGGCACACGCACATCCCCCATTGAGCTCTCGTGTGTGCCCGACACATCATTTGCCAAGAGTGCTGTGTACACACTGTCTAACACTCCTGTAAATGCTACCACTTTGATAATTCAGGTGCCCGAATCCATCCACATATGATTCCTTAACTAAGGCCTGTTCTGCAGTGACTCAATGAGCATTTACATATATTTAGAAAGCACAATGATACCATTTACACTACGAGCTGTCATACAGAGTCACCTTAAGTCTTACTCTCAAATGACATCAATATACCATTTTCCATCCTTAGAGCAATGAGCAATTCGACTGGGCAATCTGCTATTGAAGCTGATATTCAAGCAAAAGAGAGTCTGTTCTAAAGAGAGAACCATGTCGCTGCTTGGTATGAAGTCGGAAGACACAGTAATTCAGTAGAAAGAATCCAACGTCTTCAGTCCTGGCCCAGGGAATTCTCCCCCAGTGGACCTGGCTGCCACCACAATATCTGAAGTTTCGTTTGGGACCATTAGAAGTGGGTAAAATTTCTTACTATGCGTCCCTCAGTGGCTTCTCCGAGCAATCCCCCAAAGGTGATGACAGGTGACATGCAGGCACAGTACAGGAACAGAAAGGAGGCCAAACACTGTAAGCTGAGTGCATCCCGGTAGTCGCTCCAGTACCAGGGGGCCTTCCGTTTGATGTCCAGCACCAAGCCCCCAAACAGCCTGCGGAAACATGGCAGACAGGCCTCAACACAGTCCCTCTTCCACGAAAGCACATGAACAGCACACATTTGAAAGCACTTCAAATGTGCTCTGTATGGAAGTAATACTTTGGTTGCAATTTGACCCCAAGTATAAGAGATGTCTCTGGAGTCAGCACAGATTCTATTTGCAACCAAAGGCATGAATTTAAATGATTATCTCAAGCATAAAAAGAATTAATGTGGATGTGCATATTAACCATTCAATAAAAAGTTCCAAAAAATTAACATGAAATTAAGTATTAGCATCAAACTTCAAATTCTGAGCTGTTAGGAGGAAATGTGCAAAACCCCATTCAAGGTATTAAAATTGTTAGTTTTATCATATGTTTCCTAGATAAAAAGCCCCTATCACAGTACTTTCCTATTCTGAAAGTACTTTCCTATCCATCTTACTCTTGAGCAATTAGCATAATAATTCACTCATGCGGTTGACAAGTAGTAGTAGATACTTCATGCAAGGCACAGTGTCAGCTACTGGAGATGCAGCAGTGAGCAAGACAACACAGCCCTTCTCTCCAGGACCAACAGTCTAGTGCAAGAGATGGGCAGTATTGTGAGGGTGACTCAGCAGCACAGAACAGGGAGGGACATTTCAGCAGGCACTCGGAGAATGGACCAGGAATTAGCCAGATAAGGCAGAGGGGGTGACACCCAGGGGTGAGAAGGCATGGCAGTCCCAAGATGCTGAAAGAGATATGGCTGGATAAGACAGTGTGAGGGGCAAATACCAACTGACAAGGCTGGAGAAAGTGGAGAAGGCTCATCATGAAGGGCCTTGTAAACTGTTGTAAGGAACTAGAACTTTATCCTAATGGCATCCCAAGTCACTGAAAGATTGTAAACAGGAGAGCGATGTCATTAAACATACGTTCTGGAAGGATCACTCTGGCAGGGGTATAATGACTGGAACATGGGGCAAGACTACAGGTAGTGGATGGGATGGGAGAGGTGGATGGATTCAGGACTAATCAGGAGGCAGAACCAGCAGGGCCTGGTGGCAGGACTTCAGCAACCCTCTCCACTTCCCAAGGATAAGACAGATCAAGAGCAAGCTATTCCACACCAAGGAGGAGGCGCGTCCTCAGACTAGGTCACTTTTTCTAAGAGTGGAGTTACTGCACCAGGGTGAAAGTTGGTAAGTGAGTAACAAAAAGAGCCACTCGGCATTCTACAGGACAAATTGCCCGGTTTCTTCTGCAAATCAATGACAGAAAAAAGGAGGGCTGTTCTAGAATGGGAACACAAACTGCAAACTTTGACTGGATCCTGTGCCAAACAAACGAACTCTAAAAAGATGTTGCTAAAACAAGCACAAAAAGTTGAACATGGACTGAGCATTAGACAATTTAAGGAATTATTGTTAATTTTGTTAAATTTCATAATGGCATGAGAGTTGTCTGTTAAAATGTCCTTATCAAACAGAGATACATACTGAAGTAGTTACAGGTAAAATGATATGATACCGGTGATTTGATATAAAGATAATCTAGAAAACATAAAAATAAAACAAGTAAGTGGAGAGAAATGGATGAAACAAGATTGGCCAAGTGTTGACAACTACTGATGGGCACATAGGGGTTCATTAAACTATTCTCTCTTCTTTTTCATATGTTTGAAATTTTCTATAATAAAAAGCTAAAAAAAGCAAAAACAAAGCTATTCTCTCATGAAAGGAGGCCTGGCCAGCTCTTTCTTTCTTGCTGCCTAGGAGCCTGGAAAAGTACCACGAGGCTGGTACCTGTATGCCAGGGGGAAGGCCCAGCCAGCTCTCCTTCTCCACTCGAATGCTTTCTCTTATCTAGCAGGGCCAATGGGTGTGCAGGTGGACACAGGGCAGACACTGTTCCATCTTGCCCACTTGCTCTTTTCTCTGGTTTGGGCAGGTGTAGTTGGGATTCATCCTTCCTCTGTGTAGAGCAGTAACATCACAATCTGTCTGGGCTTCGGGGAGAGAGGCAAAGCCAGCCTTGTGACCTGCTTTGGTTTTAGCCTCTCTGGCAAACCTAGCTTGGGTAAGGAGCTATATCGACAGGGTCTAACCTAGAGCATGAGAGTCCCACCCCAGGGTTTGGGTCTAAGGCTCCAGTCTGTAATAAAGGATCACTTTGTCTTGCTTTCTCCTCTGCGTAAATAGCCTCTCAAGGACCTTATAGGCAGGTGTGATTACTCTGGGGCAAGATTCAAGCGTTTCTGGGTCCTTAGCCAACACAGCATCCTAGTACCATGTGACTATCACTTCTTAATCACCAGTGACCTTCCTCTGAAGGGTATTGTTCCGGGAGAAGAATCTCCTCTGCAATAATGAGCCTCACCCCACTGAGGCAACCTGAGATGCTGCTCTCATCAGTCAGCCCCTGGACACAGGAGACGCCTTCGGGGAGGACTGTCTGTGGGTAACAGACAAAGATTTATGTAAAATGGATTTAAGAGAAGTCACAGAAAGCAAGGACATCTGTCTGCCTGGCAGACAGATCAGAAAAGATCTGATGCTCTTCTTGATGGTTTAACTATAAATTAATAAAATAATTTCTGAATACTGTTTACGGAGTCGGCCTCCCAGCTCACTCATGCATAAAATCAGACCATAACTGCCCACCTAGCAGCCAGGAATCAGGCACGATGCTTCTCTCCACGGTTGAGACCTCCTTCCCCTCTCAACACTACCCTCTCGATGTTCAAGTTTTTTGAGGGCAGGAGGCACACAGGGATATGAATTTAAGCTTGATGCAAGAAAGGACTTACCCGTGTGGAGGGTCACTAGGCTCTGGAGCACTGACTTAGGGAGCCCTTCTCTGGAGGGCTTTAGGGACAGGCCCGCCATCCATTTGTCAGGTGTGCTTTGGAAGAAACCTGTTTGAAGTGTGGGGGGATCATCGAGATAGCAGCTCCTGATTCTTTTTCTCATTAACCCTTCCCCAAAGTGGCATCCCCCATAAGGTACATAAATCTCCCTTGGAAACCCACTCTCCAGAGTACCCTTCCTGCCGTGAAGCTCCTGGCCTAGGAACGCTGCGGTCAGACTGTCCCCTTCATTACCATGAGACGGGTCAGCATCACTGCCCGCGTCAACACCAGGGAGGTCCCAGACACGGTCTTAGCCCTGGCTTGGCAGGTCAGATACCCCAAACTCAGAGCACCATTTTCAACTTGGCCTCCTTCCTCACCTTCCAGAGTCCACACTAGCCCATCCTGAAATACCACTTCACCCAACGAGGACAACACCCCCTAGGTCTCCAAGTTTTGCCCCAGGTTGTACAATACCATATTCATAAAGCAGGTTTTCCACCTCCAAGAAACACAACTAATGGTATGAAGAATTCTAAAACCCAGGCTAATGTATTTTCTTAAATCTTCTTAACCATTTTTTTCCTTTTGTTCCCTAGCTTTATTGAGGATATAGTTGACATACTGTGTAAGTTTAAGGTGTACAATGTAAGGATTTGATATAGCAGGAAAGTTCTAGGCTGTCCACCTGCAGGGGAAGGCTCGTGTTCACTCCCTACATAATCTGAGATTGGGAAAGGGGCCAGAGGTGGCCCAGAACTATAAGCCCTGCAGGCATTAGGTCACCGGGCCTCAAAGGCTACCACAGGAGGAAGGCCATGTGTCTTGAGGTCTTTTACCGAGGGCTCTGAGGAAAACTTCAGGAGCTCGGGAAGAGGAAGCACCTCCCACACCAAGCAGACCTAAGCTCTGAGCCCAGAGAACACTTCCTTCCAGCTTCATCAACTCCGCAAGTTCCTGACACAGCATCATGGGAGAACAGCCTCAATCCCTATTTGAATTTGTGAGTGGAGGCAGTTGGTTCTGTGAGTAAAAGGGTTTGTGATTAAGCATGTGACGACCCCGGCTGTATGGGATTTTCTTTTGGGATGCCAGGCACCATTTCTGAGATTCTATAAGTGTTGAGATCCAATCTAATGGTCTCCCAAATCCCCATGTGGAACTGATTGTAAGTGAACCCTCAAAAGGCCTGGGACTCTAGGTTATTCTCTCTGTGTCACCAAAAGAAGCCTGAAATCTCACCTCTGCATGGATATCCGTTTGGAGGAAACCCTGTTGCCCCCCTTTCCACTACTTTCAAACTCTAAGTCCTGGGGTGTAGATGTCCCTTATATTCAAAAGATAAATCATAACTCTGAAATACTATGGAATTCACACCTAAGACCCTCCCCTAAAAAACACCACCTCCTCTAGGACAGTCTCAATCTTGGAACCTGTTCTAAGGACAGGGGCTTCCCTTTACTGCCTCTCAATACCAGGCCACCCCAGCAATTCAGACTTCTTCTAACTTTAAGAAAATGTTAAACTTACTCTCGGAGGCAGCTCCCTCATTTCAGTGGCCCCTTCCATCAAAGGCCCCTCCCTGCCTCTAGTAATCCCTTCCCAGAGCCCAGTTATCCCCCCAAAATACCTTCCTCCGCCCAGGAAACAACCCCCTACCGGGACACTGCTAGTCAAGTGCCTTCTCTCCTGTTCCTCAGCCTCCTCTCCCGGCTTCTCCCTGAATTTCCAAGAGTAGAAAAATAAATTACTCTCCACAATTCAAAAACCCCCTGAGTTTCCATTGGGTAGAGAGTACTGAGGTTAAATACATAAGGAAAGCAACTTCAAGCAAGGAGAAAAAAATAAGGTGAAAGCAATGAATGAGTCCTGTCCCGAGAGTCTCTGCCAGCAGGTCCTTCTTAGACACAAGTGCAATGCACAGAGCCAGAGCCCCAGGCTCAGGCCTCTCCCACGATCTAGGGGACATCTCTGGATGTCACTCCAACCCAAAATATCACCCTCTTTTACCACCTTCCTACCTAGCAAAAATACCTCCTGGTCTGGAGACCTGCTTCCCTCGCCTACATAGAGAAGCTCCTCCCTGGACCTCTGTCCTTAAAATCTTGGCCTAGAAGAATAGACTGCCTTTTCTGAGACACACACACACCTAAAATACTACCTATTTTCCTACCCTAAGGGAGTTTCTTACCTTAAAATAATCACTCAATATTTATCTATACCCAGTCCATTCATGCTACAGAATGGGCATCATTCTAAAAGCACTCATTCATTCATTCATTCCTTCATCAGATACTGAGTGCCTACTCTGTTCAGGGCAATGTGCTGGGTGCTAGGAATATAATAGGGTCGCTGCCCTCATGGAGCAAATGTTCTAGCAGGAAAGACAACAAATCAAGCAATAATAATAAAGTAGGATGAGGGCTGTGAGGGGAGCTACGGGGAGTGTGGTGGGTGGGTGGGGACAGAGCTCGAAGCTGTGACACCACAGAGTAGGCAGGCATACCTAACCTCATCTAGAGAGTCCTGGAAGGCTTTCCAAAGGAAATGACACCTAAGCTGAGACAAAGGTTAAATAGCAGTTAGCCAGGAGATGAGGAAGGGGACAAGTGTTCAAGTCAGAGGGAACAATGTGTGGGAAGGATTGGAAGTGAGACAGAACACGGTAGGTGGTTTGAGAAACTTGAACAAATGAATATAATATTTGATAGATTCGTAATACTGATAGACAGTGGTTCCATTTGAAAACTCATTCCCAGTCAATAAAAATACTACAGAGAAGAAGGCTGAAAGCAAAGAGCATGACTCACTCCTTCACACAACTTCAGCGCAGTGAGCATTATCGGCTGGGAAACACCCCAGAGCTTACCGCCCGGTGCGCTGCAGTTCTGGCCCGCTGTGGCCCCCATGTGGTTCTGGGTCTATGTGGCAAACATTTCCATTTGGGACTCCAGGCATTTTCCTTTTCTCCTTTTAACAGAGGACCACAAAATTAGTAAAGTCAGACATCTATTCTGTCCTTCCTGCTAATGGGGTGAGTGGTGATGAGATAATTCAAAAGGAACCAAAAAATACCCAAGTGTTTGCAGCCTTCAAATGCATTTACTGATTTGGGGCAGTTTATTGACTTTCCTGAAAGCAGCAACATACAATTTCTCCTCCTCTCCACTAGTACCTGACTCCTAACTGCCTTGCCCAGAAACAGAAAAGTGGAGGCTTTGGCATCAGATACGACCTAAGTTCTAGTTTCAAATCTGCCTCTGTGTAACTTACTTTCCCTTAAAGCCTTGGAGACAGCTTTATCGCTCATTTGTACAAGTAAGGATAACGATACCTATTTGGGGATGTTGCTGGGAAGGTTGAATGAACATACGTAAAGCACCTCGCCAGGTGTCTGGCACACGGTTGGAGATCCTTCCCGGTCTCTTACTTGTCAAAAAGGAGGGGGGACTTTATTTGTTCTCTCTCTACAACTTGTTCTTTCCATTGAAAGTCTTCTTCGTTCATGATATTCTCCCAAGAAATATCCTCCCCTCTCCTCTCCCATTCCACATCAATCCTTCAAAAGTTGCCTTTAAATTCATCCCAGAGTAATCCTGACTGTTCCTGCATATTCATTTTTCATTACTGTCTGACACTCCAGGCCCCCTGAAACAGGGCCCTGTCTTGATTTATTTAGCATACACCCACATGGTCTTTGCTTTGTCCATGGTGGGTATTCGGTAATTGGCACTAAGCCACCACTGGCCAATGTGCATACATTACCTGGGAAGGGACGTTTTTGGGTGGCTCGATTCTAATGGAGGGGTCCCACTCCCCTGGAGGGAGCACGGTCACCTGGTCTAGAAACTCGTCAATCCCCGCCAGGAGATCATCTCGTTCTTTTGCCTTATATGCCACATCATGAAAAATCTACAGAAAAGAAAAAACCCTCAGGAGAGTTGAAAATAACTTTAGTTAAAACAATCACCAATGGATATGGTGAAAGATGGATACGACCTCTTGATTTTTATCTCTGTCACGGGGATCTGAAACTTGGAAAACTTTAGCACTTAGAGAAGTGCAAGGATAAAAGGATAAAAATGGACCTGAAGATGAGATGGATCAAAGAGAACTAAGTACATGTCTATTAGTATAAGAAAAGGTAAGGCATGACTCTAAAGTTGTATAATTCTGTTACTTCCTCAAAAAATAGAACAAAAGGCAAGATGCATGGAAATTTTTCCTGATCATAATGGTTGGAAAAACTGGATGGAATTCTAAGGTCTTCCATGAAACAAGCCTCTCAAAGAGAGCTGATGAAGCACAGCCTCCATCTCCTGCTGCCTGCTAAGACATATGTCTTCAAAACCCTGCTTTGCAACTCCATGAGCACGCAGTCCTCACCAGGGTAGGCACTGGGGGCTCAGCACCAGGGCAGCCAAAATGTCTGGTTGCCTTGGTACACTCACATTACAGTGCCCCAGCTCATACTCCTGATCCTTATACAAACTGGTCTCATTTATGTGGAATGGGAGTGAGGTTTCTTTATGTAAACAGCTTAGATGCATCTAATTAACCATCCTCTCTAGAAAGGTAAGTCAGCCTTAATATCTTTCTCTCTAGGTATCCTACTTGGCAATAATAGTTTTCCCAGAAAAAAGATTTGTCTATATCCTTGATTATTCAAAAAGGGAGAGACGACACAGGAAGAAAAATCTCCCAGAGAGCTTGGTCCTCCCACAATAGGAATTCAGAGAGGTGGCCCGAACTGCTTCCCAGCAGACACTGCAATTGTAACGCTTTTATCCACAACAACTGGCATAGTGCCTGACATGGAGAAAATACTCAATAAATATTTATGAGATGAATGAATGAAAAACGGAAGTGGTGCGTACCTCATCTGTCATGATGGTGGCCATGGATCTGCCAATCTCATGGTACTGCTGACCTTTCCCTACTGGACCCAGAAGGATAAACAAAAATCTGGCAACATACACAGAGGATGAAATTATGTAAGCAAACTTAAAGAAGTGCCATTTTACTCATCTCTGAACAGCAGAACATTTCTCTCTCCTGTCAAACAGAGATCATCCCAGTACCTTCAATAAAAGGAGGCAGACTAATGATGGAGCGCTATCAGTTGCCTTGACCTAACAGCTCCACTGTGGGCAGTGGAAGCTATCTGTACGACTCCATTCGATATGTGGCTATAATTCTCAGGGTTTCCATAGACACAATTCCTGGCTATAGAAAGAAGGCTTTTTCAAAACAAGGCATTGTAGTGCAAATTCAAGGGTATCTGAACCTCATTCATTGCTCTAACAAGAAAATGACGGGGAGAGGAGAGGGCTAAGGAAGTTGAAATGCTCCAGCCCTGTAGAGGAGCCTAGACGGTGTCCTGGACTCGAGAAGACTCTGTAATTAACGGGGCTCTGAATCACCTGAGTCACACCATCAGAGAGCACGAATAGCTTTTTGAACAAATGCAGACATATTTGCAAACAATACAAATCCTGCCAGAACTGTGGAAAGAGACCTCAATGCCTTTGCTCAGAGACGTTTCCCTGGGATAAGCTCTGCGGAGCTGGGAGAGCAAGACTTAGCTTCTCATCGTAACAAGGGGTCGGCCCTTGCTAGCCCCTCTGCATGCTCTCCATCTCTCCGTTTCCAAGGCTGTAGGAACTGTGCAGTCACAGCCTTAAAAGGCTTAGAATTCTTCCGCACAGAGGTTAATCAAATACACCCCAGTTTTCTGAGGTTGCTGCTGAATTTTAAACATCATTCCCCAGATGAATTAATCCTAAATTCTGGCATTAGCTGGTTTCCTCCACCAGAGCTCACGTAAGTCTGTACTTAGACAGAATGTGCTGAGTTTTGCCATCTTTGTCTTTACCTTGTTGGGATGGGCACTTCTGTCAGGCCTGAGAGAAGAACAGCTGGAGACAGCCTCACAAAGGCAACGATGGGGTGGTCCAGAGAATCCACCTCCCCAACCAGGACGTTCGAGGCCTCGGCCCCAGTGGGGATTTTTTTCATGAAATGAAGGTCCACCTGAAAGTCCAAAAGAGCCTCTGACAATTCGGCAGCTGTCACCTCAAACGTCAATCACCCTCCTCCTATCTTACCGTCACATGTCATTTTATGATTTAACAAATGCTTTCTCGCTGTTTCATTTGATCCTTACAATAACGCTGTAAGGTGGATAAGACAGGTCTCATTAACCCCATTCCTTATTTTAAAAAATGAAGCAACTGAGACCCAGAGAGGTGAAGGCGACTTGCCCAGGACAACAGAGCTTTTGGGAGAGAGAATTTAAATCCAGGTGCTCTGATCTGAATTCCATTATACCACACATTCTCACAAAGAATAATGTGTGTGAAGCTCTGGGTCAAACGTTTTCCATTTTAAAATACTTGAACGCTTTGTCAGGAGTTTCAAGTTTTCTAAATAAAACAGGGAGCCTTATGAGCAGAGAAGCGACAAGACACTGTCTGTGCTTTAGAAAGACAGTGTCAAGGACAGACCAGAGCTGGGAGAGGCAGGAGGCAGGGGGGTCAGACCTGAACCGGAAGCTGCAGGGGGCCCTGCTACTGTGGACGGCCTGGCTACCAAAGGCACGGACCAAGAAGAGTGTCAACCACAAAGTAGTTTTAGGAGACAGTAGCAAAAACACTGTTGTGGCAAAACCCTTGGAGGTAAGAAGGAGCTGCTGGAGAGCAGGTACCAAAAAACAATTCTGAAAAATCAGGAGGCCTGTGTCAGGGAGGATTATCAGTGCCTAGTCTCAGGTTCAGCATGCTGCACCTGGTGGAAGAAATGGACGAGTCAGCCCCATCGAGGCTGGAGGAGAAGGGAGAGACAAGAGCTGATGGGCCTCCTTTTCTGCAGAAGGGGCTCTGGTCTTGGAGAAAGGTGTTGAAATACCAAAGTTTGCCCAGCTTCCAGCACTTGGACTCTGAGTTCCACTAGACATACTCCGAGGCCTCTGAGCCAACTCCCTACAGCTCTGCTCACCTTGCTTAAATCCACGGGGCTGTGTTCACAATTCACTCCATTTTTTACTTCAAGATTTGTAGCTGGGACAGACTGAGGAGACACTGTTTGACCTATTTGGAGAAAGCAGAATTTTCTGAGTCCCTGCCCTTGCCCCCTTCTGACACATGCCATCCATCATCGGTGGGCTACAGCTGTCTCCTGCAAAGCCCACGCAGAGAAGAGGCTGAGATGACTACGAAGCTAGGAGCCACAGGTACCCGTTCCTTATCTACTAGCTAGTGGGAAAGAGAGGACAGAGCTCTTACTACCCATGCACCATCTTCCCAAACACACTGTGACCCTCTTTTCTTCCTCCATTAAGGTGGTGATCTTTAACCAGGAGTGCTTATCAGAGTCTTTCATGGAGAACTTTCCAAATACAGAGTCCCGGCATATCCCCTGCACACTGTGATTCAGTAAATGTGGGGACAAGGAGCCCAAGGCAGATGAGGCCGTGCCTGGCCACAGGAAAGGAAGGCAATCAGCAGCCGAAATTCACTGAGGGTTTACCACCCACCACGCACCTGGCTAAGGCTTTACCCAGATTAATTTATTGAAGCCTCACAATAAACTTATAGAGTAGATCCTGTGATTATCTTTATTTTACAGAGGAGAAAGTGAGACTTAAAGAAGTTTAGGAGGTTACCCAAGGTCACACACTTTGCAAGTGGTGAAGCCAGAATCTCAAGCCTAGAAGTCTAACTCAAGAGCCTACACTTCTGTATTTTGCCTCCCTAATCTGAAACGTTTACTCCTAAAAAGCTCCAGTTAACCTTCCCTGGCCCCAGATTATCCCCAATGTGGATATCTTCCATAAGCCACATCAGTTCTGAGGCCGCTCTGGGGCACAAACCTCTCCCCTTGGGTCCACTGCCATCTATCTGAGGCAAGCATCCCTGGGCCACAAGAAACAGGTGCTCACCAGTCCCAGTCACCTGTCTTGCCAATCAGTAGACAGGATGGAGTCTAAGGGCGCATGGGAGCACATTAGACAAATGCAGCCCCTCCCCTCTAGTAACTTAGCATCTCCAACTAGTTCCTAACCATCTTACCAATAAAAAGAGAAAACAGTCACCCCTAATAATCTTACCATTCTTATCCATGGAATGTGGATCAGACTGCTTCTTGCCAGCCTCAGCAAAGGAGCGAACAATGGGAATGAGGTTATTTCTCTTCTTTTCATTCTGATGATGATGCTTTTTGAGAAGGGCTTCCCGTACTTTAACCCTAATGCTGTCATTCAGGTCACTGGACAGTTCTTGCTGGTCCAGGATCAGGTCTGGAAAGTAGGCGCTAACATGAACACTCAAACTGATGGTCAATGAAACAGGCCAGTGTCAGGTGGGGTGAGGGGTGAGGGGCAAGGAGTAAGGGAAGCAGTTCCACCAGGGTCATTGACGTACAATTTCCACTTCAGCGCCTGAAAGAGCTCTTAGATGATAGCAGCTGTGGCAAGTTATACTTTATTCATGGAACAAATCATTATTATTAGAAATAGAAACTACTGAGCACTTAATATGTGCTAGGAACTATACCATGAGTTTTACGTAGATTATCTAATCCTTACAGAAACTCTGAGATGTAGGTAGTATTAGAACAATTTTTACAGATCAGGAGAAACTGAGGCCCAAACATTAAAAAATTCCCCAAGGTCTCATGTCTAGTAAGCTGCAAGCTGGGACTCAAACCCAAGACTGACCCAAAAGCCCAAAAAATTACCCATTTTTGTTCTGTCATCTGCCAAAGTTCCTCTACGTTCCCTTCCTCCAAGGTTTTAGCATTGCTGTGACTTCAGGAGGAACTCTAACTGGAGACTCCAAATGGCTATCTGAAGTGGAGCCTACAGGAATAACTCAGTTAACTAAGTCCCCAGACAATTCCCACCAAGCATCAACCTTCAGCCTGTCAGCCCAGCAGAGCTGCTCCTGAGAGGCGGTGAGCACAGCAGCTGATAGTGTGGCTTCTGGAGCTCAAGGCCCACACTCTACCCCACTTCTACCACTTTCTAGCTCTGTGATCTTGGGCAAGTTACATCACTTCTCAGTATCTCAGTTTCCTCAACTGTACTACAGAGCTAATATTATCACCCACCTTAGAAGGTTGCTATGGAAAACTGAGATAACATGTACAAAGTGCTGATTCACAGTAAACCCGTGAGACAGCTCCCTCCCCTTATTGCTAACGCGAACGCTTCAGGCGCCCAGTGTGAAGAACTGTGGCGATTTTACTGCAATTCAACACGCTTCTCCTCAGGCCTCCCAAAAACTTCAACCCATTCTCAATCCAGCTCCATCCATGATGATGCGAGTGCTAGAAGCAAGAAATCAAGAAAATCTCTTCCAAATACTCAAGCCAAAGAGCTATGTTTCTCTATCTTTATCCTTTATATTGGTTGGTTCCTTGCCCGCATATTATAAACATGCTTTAGAATTCTTCATCTTGGAAAAAAAAAGAAGAATGTCCACCCCAGGTCCCTTTTACCCACCTTCTCCTCTCTGTGTCTCCTATCGCTTCTCAAAAGCAGAATTCCTCAGCCCCCTGCAATTTGGCTACCTCCATGAAACTGCTTTGATAAAATCATCAATAGCCCTCCAGTTGCTAAATCTGATGGATGTTTCTAGTCCTTACTTAACCTGACCTCTCTGTAGCATTTATCACTGATAAATTGAAACTCTCTCCTCACTTGGTTTTTGTAGTGGGTTGAATAGTGTCCCCTAAAAAGATACGCCTATGTACTAAACCCTCAGAACCTGAGAATGCGATCTTATTTGTGAAAACGGTCTTCGCAGATGTAACTAAGTTAAGGATCTCGAGATGAGATCATCCTGGATGATACTGGCAAATATCTTTCTAAGAGACACACCAGTGAGAAGTCCACGTGAAGACAAAGGCAGACTGGAGTCATGCAGTCATCGGCTCAGCAACACCCAGAGCCACTAGAAGCTGGAAGCTAGAAGCAGCAAGGAATAACTTTCCCCCAGAGCCGTGGGAGGGACACAGGATCCCATCAGTGCTCACCCTTCCCTGGACCCCCATGTGATCCCAGAGAGGCAGAATTACTTGGATACTTGAAATGGAGAAAAGTTTGGAGAAATCTTTATCTAACCTGTCCAGCCAAATAGAGCCAAGCTGAGGGAAAAAGCCTCACCTGCACCCAGGTGTTTCTCAAACTCCATTCCCCAAACATAGTAACTTAGCACTTAGTGACACCAGGAGACTCCATCAGACACCTGCCCTCCACAGCTTTCTGAAGAAGTGGGGTACTCTGGCTCAATTTCTTACATGTCTTCCCTCGCTGCCATATTTTAAAAGTCTTTAACTCCCTTTTCCTCTGCACAACTCCCAGCTTCCCTTTTCTCAAATTATTACCAAAACATATCTCTGTTGTTGCACTTATTTTAATTGTTCCATGGCTGTTTCCCCTCAGAAAGTGAGCTCCTTGAGCATCCTATCTTTATTCCTCTGTGATTAGCACATTATCAATCATAAAGAGATACAAAATAAATGTTTGCTGAATCAACAGGCAAATAGAAGACTAAACACCGTCTTACTTGAATCCCATAATAAGCCTGTGAAACAGAGCAGTTTCTCAGTTTGAAATCCATCCCACAGCTAAGAACTTTGAGGTCGGGAAGGTTAAGTGACTTGCCTAAGGACACACAGTCGTTTTATTTTTTCCTTTACGCCACACTTCTTAATTTACCAAATGTTCCTGTTTTCCCTCACCTAACCTTACCTGAAATTTCTTCTATGCTATTTGCACGCATGTCCAGAAGGACCGTTCCATTAATAAGGCAGCTCCGTAACTCAAAGAGACTGTGCAATGAAAGGGTCGCCACATAAGGCTTGCTCCAGCGTTCTCCTCCGTCCTCAACATCTTCTTCAAACTTCAGCCACCTGAAAGCATGACAAACAACTAGATGCCAAAGATAAAAAATGAGGAATTTTCAAGACAGAATTTTTAATGTAGGCCACAAAGAAAGGTATCTGAATAAACATATCAAACACTGTAATTTAATCTATATGTTCAGGGTACATTGGTAAGTGAAAAAAGCAGGTTATAAAACAATGCAAAATTGAATATAGTTTGATTCCAGCTTTATCTAAAAAATACAAATGTGCACATGTATGAGACGCCAAATGCTATATTCCTCATTACCCTGGGGTAGTAGGATTACATGTAATTTTCATCTTCTTCTTTTTGCTTATCTTTGTTTTCTAATTTTGTATAATGAGAATGCATTACCTATGCAGTTAAAAAAACAGATCTAATTTATATCGTTTGGATATGCTGACAAATCACATTAATAAAGTCAAACTTTCCTTTTCTTTAAAAGCCTACCTGTGTGACCTTTAGAAGTTTGCAAAGACACAACGACAGGACTAATTGCCTTTTCACTTGGTATCAGGTCAATTGGCTCATTTATCCTCTCTACCCACAGCAAATGTCCACGGATACAGCAGGTATCCAGGAAGAACTGTTCTAGTGAGAGCTGGTACCACGCTTGGCTGGTTACCCTCCTTGCCTTCTTCCTCAAGGCCCAGGCCTGCTGGCTTTGCATCTCCATAACACTCACTGTGTCAGTTACTAGACACAGCCCTGGTTAATCTGCAGGCTCTTCTGGGGTCTGAGCCTCAGACAAGCATGTCATGCTACAACTACTCCAGGAAGCCTGCTGTTAGGCTAGTTATAACCCCAAGGCTCTCATGAGGTTGGACTGTCCCACGGACATCCAAAAAACTCTGGAACTTCCAGTGAATTAAAACCCAAATGACTCTATGGCTCATGTTTAGGAAAAGTGTGGACCTATGCTATCTCTGCTGGGCTAGGTCCAAACCAAGGTGGCCTCACCAGGCATCTTCTAAGCCAGACCTATAATATCAAGATAGCCCAGGGACTGCTCTGACCCCGGTTGTTTTAGGCCTTACCTGGCTGTCTCCTTCCACTCGGCATCCTCTCCCTCTTTCACGCAGATCTCATCCAGCTCTGTGAACAGCTCGTGAGGCACATGCTCTTCATCTTCCTCGGTGCCGAGAATGAACTGAACACGCTGAGACGGTGTGTCTGGAAAGTGAACCACAGAGAAAGGTCTGCTCCCAGCCTCACCTTAGAACAGAAATAGCATCCTGCCATACGTAGCACATCCGGGGGCCTTACAACTTCAAGAACATATAGAAGACAATCCTGAACACAGATCGAAAAGAGTCCTTATTTTCACACACACACACACAAAAGCTATTCTGTAGAAGCAGTTTCATGGGAGGAAAAAATTATCAACTAAGACCACTTGAAGAAAACAGACAAGAAACCGGAAATCTGACAAATTTGATCAAAAGAAATGGCTAATTCTCCAGCAAATGATTTCACCTACTATGGTATTGATTTGGGGGGCCTGAACTGTTAAGTTTTCAGGAAGATACTTTGATTCTTAGAGGCATTTCTTCTTGGATGCAAGCTCTGAAAACTCTACAGAAGGCTGTAGAACCAAGACCCCCTGCTTGAGGTTCATCACACCTTCCCTCAGCCTCACCGAGCACCCCCCTCCCCACACGCCCCCTCTCTCCCGAGGGTGTTACCGTGGGCCAGGGCCTCTGGGCCTTCCTCCCCCTGGCTGGCTCCTTTGCCCCGCCCTCGTCTCCGGTGCTTCTGGCCATGGGCTCGGTGGTGCCGATGGCTCTGCCGGCCCAGCGGCATCCGAACCCCCACGTACAGAGTTCTGTGACCTGAAAAGAAGCAGAAGGCCTGTAGAGAGAACTCCTTTAGTAAAAGGAGTCTAGTATTTAAGAGAGGAAAAAAAATTCCAGTTCTTTGGCCTGGTCACAACTCTGGAGTGACCAAACTTCGAAGGCTTCCAGGACTAAAGATGCAGAGACCTTGCAGTTGAAGGTCTCCTTCGTCCTGCACGCAGCAGCAAACCTCCAGGAGTGTTAACATCAAAGGAAATAATGTGCAAGAACATGATTTGCAAAGCCCTGATGGTCTAATGGTTAAGATTTGGGGCTCTCATTGCCACGGCCTGGGTTGTTTCCCCAGTCAGGGAACTGTCAGTTGTCATACTGTGGTGGCTGTGTGTTTTGGCTTTGTGGTGATTAAAGCTATGCCGCAGGCATTTCAAATACCAACAGGGTCACCTGTGGTGGACAGGTGTCAGTAGAGATTTAAGACTAGGAAAAAGGACCTGACCACCCACTTCTGAAAAGGTTGGCCATGAAAACCCTGTGAACAGCAGCAGAGCGTTGTCTGATACAGCGCTGCAAGGTGAGAGGATGGTGCAAAAAGACCAGGCAGGGTTCCGCTCTGCTGTCCACAGGGTTGCTAGGAGTTGCAACTTCCCCCACAGCACTAACAACAAGGCCAGTACAGATGCTAGTTGTTATTACAACAATTTGAGCAATTGAAAAAAAGCAATAGAGTCACTAGGTGACACCTGCAGCCGGTCTTGGCAGGGAGGCAGCTTAGGAAAGTGGGTAAGTGCTCGTCAACCTGCCTGCAGCCAAAACTTGACTTCATCATTCACTAGCTGTGTGACCTGGAACAAGTTATCTAATATCTAATCTACCTCTGTCTTTAAAAAAGAATATCAGAGCCAGCCCTGATGGTCCAGTGGTGAAAGTTCAGCAGGCTCTGCTTTGGCGGCCCAGGTTCAGTTCCCGGGCACGGAACCACACCACTCATCCGTCAGTAGCCATGCTGTGGCAGTGGCTCACACAGAAGTAGAAGGACCTACAACTAGAATATACAGCTATGTACTGGGGCTTTGGGGAGGGAAAAAAAGAGAGAGAGGAAGATTGGCAACAGATAGTAGCTCAGGGTGAATCTTTCCCAGAGAAAATTTTTTAAAAGGATACTAAAAGCTTATTATTTAAACTCAGAAGTTTGAGCAGTAAATAAGATAATGTATGTAAAATGTGTAACACAATTCCTTGAATAAATTTTAGCAGCCAATACATTCTAGGATCAGTTTCCATTATTTTTTTTTCTGCATTGTAGAATACGCAATCTAGAATACAAATGAGAGACTAATTACAAATCGTGAGGAGCACGAGGCTGGGGTTATAGGGAGAGATATTAACTTCTGTACAAAAAGAGGGAACAGGAGAAAATAAATGACCCAGAAGCATTATTCTCCAGTTCCTCCTTTCCTACTCCCTCATTCCTTCTATAAACCTTATCTTGTTCTGTTCACCACTTCCAGACCTGTCTCACCTCCTCCACCAAGGCTGGAGCCCAGAATCAGTAGTATCAAGGATACACAGAGCCTTGGTCTTCTCCCATTTCTGCCCAGTTACTGCTGCTCAGCACCCTAGGTCTCAGGCCCCCCACATCTTCCACCACAGAAGCTGTTCCAGTCTTTAGCCACTGTCTTCAAATCCACAGCCTTATCCACGGTTCCTCTCTCTAAGCAGTGACCTCACCTCATACTTTACTGAGAAGAGTTGGCCCTCTCATGTGAAATTCCTGCATTTCAGCCTGCCTCGCTTTCCTCCCCCAGCTTCTCCTCTTTACCAGGCTAATGAGCATCACCTCCCAGCCCTGTGGAGTCCTACTGCATCTCCATCTGTTATCAGACGCCTTTGATGGCTCTGTGGGAAGTAAGGTAACGCTGAAATCTTAGAGAAGGAAAGCTCTGCCTTCTCTAGGAAGTTTTTTTGGTCCAATCAATTCTCACAAACATTAGCCAACCACAGCGCGTGCCTTTTGAAAACACCAGAGAGAAAGGCAGAAATGAAAACAAGCCCCAGCGGGGGGCGGAGCTAAGAAGGACCAAGTGGCTGTCAGAAAATTAGGCATCAGTTTCTAGGCCGGGGACTCAGAAACAGGGACTTAGATTTTCTAAGTGAAATCAGCAGAGAAGAGGACAAACAAATGGACGCTAGGAAACGAATATAGCACCAATAAAACCCAGTCCATCTACCCAGATTCTGCAGTCCAGTAACTTCACGGAACTACCCCTGTGGTCACTGCTGGCCGTTCAACTATTTTCCCACCCACAGTCTTCCTTCCCCTCATCGACCTACCAACTCACCCAAATGCCACCTCCTTTCCATCTCATTCTCTATTCTTCTTTCCAGTCATTACCAAAACTACTCTTTGGGGGCTATCTGTGTGCAAAGACAAGTATTCATTTGGTAACATTTATAGGAAGGATTTAACATTAGTGTATATTTTTAAAAATAAGTAGGTATACATATACAGAAAGCAATCATTAGAGAACGGGGACTGAATCTCGTGGAGCAGGACAGAATCACGGTGTGACCCACCCATCACAGATAGAGACTGACTGGTGATGAAGATACACCAACTTACAGTGCATTCCATACATGCTGCTTCCCGAGCAGGCACACAGAACTCATCAGCACAGACAAAAGGGTGTTCCGCTCCCCTGGGCTACAGGATGACTCAAAGTCAATAACCACGGGGTGAATCTAACATGTGGAACAGGTGCAAGCCTTTTTTTTTAACCTATAAATATGACCAAATGGCTCCTACCTCTATTAAAAACTTATTAGAAGGCACTATACTTACTCTAGGACTCACAGGTTTAGTAGTTAATCAGGAATAATGATCTGCCAGAAAAAACGGGAAAAGCCACTCCTCTAACTAAAGCAACTGCCCTGTGTTCCTCTGGAACTAGGAGAGGCCACTGAAGCACAGCATGCACTATTGCTCTGCGTGAGTTTATCTTTGGAAATCTCTTCTAACGTTTGCTTTTGACTCTTCCCATACATAAAAAAAGCAACGTCATGGTTTAATGCACCTTCTCCTACTGATGGAATGAACTTATGCAAAAAGACTCACATCTACCAAAGTCTCCAACAACGACTGCAGACTAAATCTCAGAAGTAGTTCTGAAAATAGGAGGGGGACTGCTTCGTGTCATGGGGAGCAGAGGGTATGGAATAAAGGAGAAGGAAGACCCAGAGATTTATCTGCAGCCACAGATCTTTGTATCACGGCATACACAGTGAATCAGAACACAATTCACTTGTCTTCCATCAAAGTGGGACTGATTTTATTCCACGCCTTCAAGAGACAACACCTCCCCGAGAGCAGCCTCACTGAGCCCCAGGGCTGCTCTCGGAGTGAGTCAGGGTGAGCCCACAGCACAGCCCATCCTATGGCAAACCCCAACGCCCTCTTCTCCTCTCCAGAGCTACTCTAGAACTGCATCAGGTCTGAGGAGTGGTCACCATTTGTCCTCCATTTGCCTATAGTGCTTTTCTTAAAAAGTGCTAATAGAAATAAGATTCATAAGATGCTAGGGTTTCAAAAACGTCTATGTATAAAGGGCCATTTCCCAACGTACTATCCTCTAGCAATGCCATCATCATAGATGGCTTTCTTTTACAGCAAAATGGGGAATGTATAAGGAATAGATGATGTCCTCTTGAGACGCTCCTCCTGCCAATCACTCAGCTGACCTCTGCCGATGGAACCCAGTCCTCAGGACCCAAGAGAGTTTGCCCAGGTTTATTATTCTATTTCCAGTAGACAAAAGTGTTCACAAACGGTTACCTCCTTGCTGAGGGCAAACATCTAGTGGGCCCAGACCACCACACTGAGAGCAACAGTGCCCCCAGGTTACAAGGAGAGGGTGGACGGGCAATAGGATGATCAGGGTAGAAGGAAAGATGGGGCAATACATAAAAATGTTTATATGATGCAGCAAGACGTTGAGGTTGGGTGGCCAGTGCTGGGCAGTGTGGCAGAGTAGAAAGAGCAGAATTCCATCTCAGTCTCACCTGCCATTAGGCTAGATGACCCTGAGCAGTTTCCCACCACGTACAATAGAGACGATACCTATCTGCCTGGGTTGCTGTGAAGATAAAAAAGACAACTTGTAGCAATGCCTAGCCAAATGCCTACACACAAGGGGCATTCAACAAATGTTAGCCTCTTGCCTCCACACCCTTTCCTTCTTCCGCTTTCTCCCAATTGCTGAAACCCACGCTGGCTTTTCTTCTATCTGGTCAAAATTACTTGGAAACCTTAACCTTGATATACCTGAACTGCACTGACCTCCACAGAGCCACCCACCTAAGTTCTCACGGTAACAGACCCAGAGGCTGAGTCAGCCTCCACAGCTTTCACTTTCTCCATCCAAAGGACAAGTTTTCTCTGGGGATTGCACAACTTTGATGAAAAAGACGTCACAGGAACAAGCAGTACGGAGGGAACATTTCACACGCTGTCTCAGTCATTAGAAAATTGCTGCATCATCGCCTTCAACATTGTGGGAGAGGCTGCCGAGATTTCACCAAGGCTTTTGAACCACATGTGGGTTCTCATTAAAGCCATGGTGCACACGAGCCTTTCTTTAATCAAACAGAGCGTCACCACTTATCAGGAAACTAGGCCCCGTGGGAGAAGGGAAAGCAGAAGGACACCACACTATGGTCATGTGGGGAGCTGAGGGTGGGGGAGGAGAGAAAGGAAGAGGAGCTTTACTAAGGTAAACTAGACAGAGGAAGCCAATTAAAATGCCTCTTCCTTCCCTTCCACTTCAGTTGGGTTTTTATACAACTCTGTGCTATGAACTCTTAAAGAACGTGCTATAGGTGTGTACGTATTTTCCCTTTTCTTATTTAGATGAAAACACCAGGGCAGAAATGGATATAGTTACAATGGGAAGAGCAAACAATAGAAATGGGGTAAAAACAGGATGGGGTAAAAAATGAATTTTTAGAACTATTTGTATTTTATTTTCTTTAAAAATTTTGTACATATCTATATTTCTAGGCAATTGTCAAGAAACACTAAACTGATCTGAGCACTTCACATTCTCAAGGAATAGGTTATTTATTAATATTTGTATTAGACTTTACAGTGCTCAGTGCATTGTCTCACATGCTGTCTATTAGATCCTAATAGTAAAACAGGTATTATCATCTCTACTTTTACTTAACAGACGAGGAAATTGATGCTAAAGGAAATGAAGTGATTTTCCCCCAAGGTCTGACAGCTAGTGAGAAAGAGTTAGGACTCAAACCCAGGTCTCCTGATGGCAAAGCTGTTTCCCCTCACCAGGCTGCCTCTCGCTAATTTCCCGCATTACACAGAGCAGCGCTTCCTACCTTCCAACTCTTCTTTCTCATAGTGAATGTTGAGGATTGTGCTGGTCCCCCCCTGATCCACCACAGCTTCTTCATCTGGTCTCTGTCGAAACAGAAATAAGTAGTCATAGCAAGAGCCACACATTCATTCAAGCACTCGTTTAAGTACTGTGTGTACGCCAGACCATTTATGTAACACTTGAGCGGGAAGACACAATGGTTTACATATATTTTTAATTTGAACCTCACAATAACTTTGAGACGCAAACATGGCAGCCATTTTCTTTCTCATTTTATAAATGTGCAGCCTGAGACTCAGAGAACATTAAGTAATTATTGCCCCAGGTCACAAATGTGGTAAGAGGCAGAGCCAGGACCGAGCCCAGGTCTTGTGACTGCGGATCTCCCGCCTCCCCTCTCCACCTGTACATCTGTCAACCATGTTGGCATCTTGTAAGTGGTGTCAACCACATTGTCTTATTTGGTATAAACTGGTCTCCTCGATGTCTCTGCAGCATTTGAGGCTGTGTACCACTCTGTCCTTGAAGTTCTCCATCCTGCTGCTCTGACCAGATCTCCTCTGTCTCCTCCTAAGGCTCTTCTTCTTCCTCGAACCGTAATTCCCCAGGAAGAGCGCTCTACCTCACACTGAGTTTTACAGTGTCAACAGCCTGAAACTGTGGGGCTCCGTATTCGACAACCCACTGGGATGCCGTATCTCAAGATCCACGTGTCTACAACCAAACAAATCTTCCTTCCCAAACTAGCAACCTGCACTCATTTACTTCCTTCAGCCCACGGCACCGTCAGTTCTTAGTCCACCTTTGAAATCCCAAGCTTATTTATTCATCCATTCCACATATATTGAGTGTCTATTAAATGCCTTCAGGGAAACAGTCCCCTTTTCTCATCAAGACCTCTTTTGCAATTTCTCTCGAATTCACTCTCATCTCCCATCCACTCTATCCCACACTTCCCACTCCTTTCCGGCACACTGGACATTTTTTCAGTTCTAGAACCACACTCACTTTCTTCCCTGAGTGCTGCTCCCTCTGCCTAGAACTATCACCATCTCCCTGCCACCCTCACCTGCACCACAGCAGCCATCTTACTCATCAGCCCACAGACCTCGGCCTAATTGCCCTTCTCAGAAGCCTTCCCTGTCTGCCCCTCTTCTGACCTAAGCTGGGCCCTCCCGCTGACACACCCTCACAGCACACTGTACTTCCCCTTAGTAATGCAACATCTCTGCTCCTTAAGGCAGGGACCATATCCGCCTTGCTCACCACTGTTTCCCCAGCACCCTGCACAGACTTTTCACAGAGTAGGTGCGCAATAAATCTTGTTAAAAGAATGAGGACAGGGGCTGGCCCCGTGGCCGAGTGGTTAAGTTCGCGCGCTCCGCTGCAGGCGGTCCAGTGTTTCGTTGGTTCGAATCCTGGGTGCGGACATGGCACTGCTCATCAAACCACGCTGAGGCAGCGTCCCACATACCACAACTAGAAGAATCCACAACGAAGAATATACAACTATGTACCGGGGGGGCGTTGGGGAGAAAAAGGAAATAATAAAATCTTTAAAAAAAAAAAAAAAAAAAGTACTGATTTCTTTAAAAAAAAAAAGAATGAGGACAATGGCACTTACCTTACCAAGACAGTGAACTATTTCAAAAAAATCTTAGCTGCTTTCCCTGCCAGTCTATTTCCCTGACCAGCCCCGCAGCTCCAGCCAGGCTCGCTGATCCCACAGGCGCCAGGCACTTTCCCACCTCCGTGCCTTTGGTCACCCTGCCCGGTCATCTCACACGCCCCTTCCCCAACTCTCCAGCACTCAAATCCTCACCACCCCCTAGATCCTGCTCAAATTGCCAGCTTACTGTTCTAATTTTACTATTTTTTAGTTATCATCTATACCCCCAAATAAGGCAACTCTAAACATAAGGCAATCCATTGTCCCAATGAGAAGATTCAAAAAAAGTTTCTTGAGGCCAACTTGAATAAACAAATTTAAAGGAAGTAGACGAAGTAGTCAAATGGCTACTTACAGCATTTTATTTACGATTTTAGTTTTATAGACATATTCTAATTACATATTATTACTACCACGGAATAATCTCCAAGATATAATATTAAATTTAAAAAGCAAGATGGAGAAAACTGTATAATTTCCTTTTATCTAAGAAAGGGTGTTGGAGTATATGCATCTGTTTATATGTAAAAACACACAAAGGAAGAACAACCCATAAAAGCCTTTTTTAAACAGTTACCTATAGAGGAAGGAGGGAAATAGGTAGAAGAGATAAGGGCAGAAACGAGACTTCTTTGAATATACCTTATTTTGTAAATATTTTACATAACTTTAAAACAAAATTAAACTTTTAAAAGCAATTCCCAGAAATCAAAAACAAAATGAAAGCAAATGCCAAATTGATGGCATAACTATTCCAAGAGAAATTATTCCAAGTAACATTAAAACATAACAAACTGACAGAATGGCCTTACTGGCATGTACTCTAAGGAAAAAAGAATTTTAAAAGATCTTAAACTACTTTTTACTTATCGTATTGTCGGTTGTAGTGCCAGTGTCACCATTCTGAGACAGTTGTGTATTGCGAGATAAAACAAACTAATTCTGTGAACTTATTCTGTCACTCTCCAGGTGACTGAGAACTGGGATCCTCAGCAGGGGTGAAAGGGGTACAGTTGTAAGACAGAAGTTAGGGAAAAACCATGGAGTCCAAAATTTGAATTGGAAGTATCAACAAGAATATATGAAGCATTTTTATCTTTAAATGTTTTAAAGTTATAAATTTCTATTTTCCAGCTCTGTCCACTCAAAAGGCCTAGAAAAAATGATCGGCCAGGAGCCATGAGGATCATTAGCATCTACACTGTGGTCTCTTAAAATACCATCTTCTACTAAAAGGCACTCAGACAACTAGGGTTATGTCAAAAGGACACGGGCCAACTTACAGAGGTCCCTTGCCAAAAATAGGACAATTTAGCATCAATAAGAGTGATAACTGCAACAGATTGAATATGTCAAATATGTTAAAATCCACGAGTTCATAAGGTCACTTTAAAAATTAACTAATTGGCCCCCATTGGAGGATAATGCTAATACCCCTACTCATGACTTTGACAACTGGTAAAAATTTATCCTGGTTTTCCTATATAAACTGTACCATAGAAAGGTACCATAGCGATGAGAGAAGTTTCTTATTATAGAAGAGAATAAATGATTGAGGAATGTTAGAATTAGAACACTGCCCTTTTGCCTCCCTAATGGATTGCATTGATTTTCAACGGCCACTAACATCACAAAAAGAGAGACAACCAGGCATTACATGCCTCCTAATGGGAGACCGTATCACCACCCATGAGGTAATCTTACCAAATAAATTGTCCCCAAATCTGATCAAGTCTTTAAATCCAAATACCAATTTACTGAAAATACAGTGAAACAGCGTCCCATTAAAAATACCACCACAGGAATACAATCCGCAGAACCCAGATCATGGGAAACCATAGAACAAACTCTCTCCCCAGCCCCATTTTTAAAAAGAAACAACTGCAGGAAGAGAAAGACAGAAACGGAGACAGGGAAAGAGCAAGGTGAAACCAAGAGTTAAAAGAAACAACGAACCAATCACAATGTGTAGACTTTATCTGAATCATGATTCAAACTAACTAACTGAAATCATTTTTTCAGTTACTTCTTAAAAGTTATGACATATGAGACGATTAGAAATATGAATATCGACTAGATCTCATGATATTACAGAAATTGCTACTTTCTCTTTAGGTGGTACTGTGCTTGTTTTCTTAAGAATCTTCACCTTTTAGTGATGCACACTGCAGTACGTATACAGATGACACAGAAAAATTACATATAGGTAAAATAATAAATTAACTTAGAAATATTATTTTCTCTCTTACATTTTATAAAAGAATGTTATTCAAAATCTTCAAATGCATCTCTATCATCAGTGACTTCTTCCTCATCACCATAGGTGCTTTGAGTCCATTTTCCAGAGCATGTCAGTTTCACTGCCATCTTAGTTGTAAATACCCTCCTTTCTCAGAAATAACTTTTAGATGGAAAATACTTGCTTTTATTATAGACTTATTTATTATTTGTTTACCTAGCTTATCTTTTAGATCATGAATTCCCTGACAGCAGGAGCCACATATTTTCATCTTTATGTTCTCCCAGAGTCCAACACAGTAGCTTACCATTGCAAGTAGCCTGCCCTTCCATAAGTTCCAGGATGGTGGGTACTGTGTCTTATATTTACCACTATCCATCTACCACCTAACACAATGTCCAGTATGTGGTAAGTATCCAATAAATTTTGATGAATGAATATTTATTTTTCTGAACTCTTTCTTTATCACATGATCATATGTTTTCTCATAAAACTTCATATATATTCATATGCATTAAAAATTATCTATCTATATACATATATATTATATACATATAATAATGAAAAGTTAATACGCTATAATATGTTTCATTATTTACATATAATAATAAATTATTCATATACACATAAATAATATACATATATATGAATAATTTTTCATGTTGGCTTCCCCACAGGTCTGTAATATCCAGAGAACAGGGACCAGTTAATTACAATGCTTAGTACCGTGCAGACACCTGACACAGCAGAGAATGCAGAGAATCTGGAGGGAGGGAGGGAGGACTGAGTCCTTGACTCTGGACTATAGAAGCAAATACGAAGAACAAGCTCAATCATCTGAAAAATTCAGGTTGAAAAATCAACTTGTTGTTTGTTTCCTTAATTTAGATTGGTTAATCACAGCCTAAATTCACTGAATAAATGTGCGTCCACTTTCTTTGTCTTGCCAAAGAAAACAGAACCCCTGTAAAACACCATTAGCCAAGGCTTTTGAAAGGTCAGGCTTGAATGTGAACGTGCGGACCTTATTTGTATCCTGGTTCCAATAAGCCAACTATTAAAAAAATTATAAGGCACTCAGAAACTTAAACAACTCAATGGGTATTTGATTATATTAAGGAATTGTTCATTTTTAAGTATAATAACAATATTGTGATATGGTAGTTACATCATTA